TTTAATTTGTATTTCCCTATTAGAACGAGGTGTCTCGCCTTTATTTATTTCTTTATTTATGATGCATATTAATTAAAAGGTGCTGATTGAGCTCCCTTGTTTTGCAGCCTTGTCATTTCACCCTGTTTTCAAGAAGGGAACGAGGGGTGCCTGTGCTTTGTCCTGTCTCCAGCCACAGCCAGCACCTGACCTTCGGAGTGAGATAGATTCTCCCCTAGGAGATAGGTCACTGCCCGAGGCTGGCATGCCTTCCTTCTCCTACCTACAGAATCATAGAATCATAGAATCACCAAGGTTGGAAAAGACCTAAAAGATCATCCAGTCCAACCGTTCACCCATTCCCAACAGCTCCCACTAAACCATGTCCCTCAACACAACATCCAGTCTTTCCTTGAACACCTCCAGGCTCGGTGACTCCACCACCTCCCTGGGCAGTCCATTCCAGTGCCTGACCACCCTTTCTGAAAAGTAATACTTTATACCCAAGGATGGTGATGCAGCTGGATGCCCCCCTAGCCAGCACGCAGCCCAGGGGAGTCTTTATCCTGGCAGCACGAGTGATTCAGCAGTGGCTGGTGGGAGCTTCAGCCGTAGGGCTGTGGAAGAGCTGGGACTTCTGCTCCTCATGTGGCTTCCTTGTGCTCAACGTGCATCGTGGGCAGAGAGCATCGTAGCTATAAGAGCAAAGAGAGGGTAGATGATAGCTTCCCTCACGCAGGTTGGGGCCAGCAGTGCTGGGAACTGGGGTGTCCCCATGGCTGTGATGCCCTGTGCTGGGCTGCTCCCTTGTATGGCCATGGCTGGGCAGAGTTATAATGGATTCCCCATGCACAGCATCCTGAGAGCTGAAGCTCATTCCCAGCCCAACATCCTGGGGTCTGGAGTTTGTGCAGGAAGGAAAGCAGCAGCAGAGTCCTGTGGGGGTGGGGAGGGGTGGATGGGCTGAGAAGGCCTCCCGCTGGTGGGTCAGCCTGGACAGGGAGACATGCACAAAGGCACTGACCCAAGAGAGACTGTGTCCTCCACAGCCAGTGCTTATCCCAGGAAGGAGTCATGGTCTGCGGTCATCAGGATGCAACTTATCTGTGGGGCAGAGGCTGCGGCCACAGCTGGGTCCCTGCTACTGGGAACAATGCAGCAGCTCCCTGGGGTGGCTGCAGGATCCTGGGAAGAGAGGAGGCACCCGATCCCAGCACCCTGTGGGCTGGAATGCTCACAGGGCAGGGCAGTCCCAGTGCTGAGCACACGGCTGCCATGTGGCTGAGTTTCATCTGGCCCTTCACAGACTGCCTCAATGTCCCCATCAGTACAACGAGCCCCAGGAGGTTTCTTCTGTGGTAGCATGGTGTCACGGAGTTGATCAGATCAATCTATGTCCGTGACAGGGGGCGACAGGCCTCTGCCCTCCCCCCCACCCCAGTCCCACAAAAATGGGAAGGAAGGAAGGGAGGAAAAGAGCAGCGGCAACAATCTATGGAGGAAAACTTATTTTACTATGATATCGGAATACAAAATAACACAATATATACAATTTAATTGAAATTGAGATTAATAAATCAGACAAGATGAGAGAGAGAGAGTTCCCGGGACCGATTCAAACCTGAAAAGCTTGGAACGGCTAGGAAAGCACCTCCAGCACCCACTGCAAGGCAGCAAGAGAGCGACCCCCCCCACCCGGAAGGGCCAGATCCCATGACTGCTGTAATGTACAGGGATAGGTAGCTGGGATTGGGGCAGTGACACTTTAATGCCCCGTACACTACATGATGTTTTGATGTGGAATACTGAAACCATAAAGAAAACAAAAACAAAAACATAGAACCATGACACATGGCCCATGGGAGGCTGCCACAGCTCTGCACTGCTTCCCCTTTCAACCACATTTGAGGGGACGTGTTCACTGCAGGGCAGAGCTGTGAGCATCCTGAAGTCCCCACACAGGGTGCATGTCCACGAGGGCTGGGACTCCTTGAGAGCACCCTGCAGGGAAGCCTGGGAGGAATATGGGGAGCTGAGCTCTGGTCTCCACTGAGAGATGCCCAGCAGTGAGCTCTGTACCCCTGACCCTTCATGATCTCAGTGTTTGAACAGTCCAGTGGCTTCTTGCTCAGCTTCAGAAAGGGGAAATGCATGCAGTGAGGAAACTCGGGCAAGATCTCCCTAAAGGAAGCAGTGTGATCACACGATGCCCAGCAGCCTACAAAGATGTAGGGCAGCCTTTCTGAGTTCCTGGTAGCAAAACGCAGAGGGGAGCCAGCAAGACAGCCAGGGCCAGAAGCTGTTCAAAACAGAGGGTGATCTTCTAAGAGCAAAAGTCACTGCCAGGTGGCACAAAATAGCATCGAGCAGATAGGATGTCAAAGCTCAGTAAGATAATAGAGCAAGGACCCTGCAGGAGCAGCCAGCAATCCTTTAGCAGACACTCTGAGAGCTGTAAATCTGCCCCCCAAAAAAGTCTGTAGTGTTACTGGGAGCTCAGAGCATGAAGAACGTGGAGGAGACATCATCCTCAATGAAAAGCCTCAATGAAGGTCATGCCTAACTAATCTTGTGGCCTTCTATGATGGAGTGACGGCATTGGTGGACGAAGGGAAGGCGACCGATGTCATTTACCTGGACCTGAGCAAGGCCTTTGACATGGTCCCCCACCACATCCTCATCTCCAAATTGGAGGGAAGTGGATTTGATGGGTGGACGACCCGATGGATAAGCAATTGGTTGAAAGGACGCAGACAGAGGGTGGTGGTCAATGGCTCTATGTCCAGGTGGAGGCCGGTAACAAGTGGTGTCCCCCAAGGGTCTGTCTTGGGACCGGTGCTCTTTAACATCTTTATTAATGACATCGATGAGGGAATTGAGTGCACCCTCAGCAAGTTTGCTGACGACACCAAGCTGAGTGGTGCGGTTGATACGGTGGAAGGAAGGGATGCCATTCAGAGGGACCTCGACAGGCTGGAGGGCTGGGCTCGGGTGAACCTAATGAGGTTCAACACGGCAAAGTGCAAGGTTTTGCATTTGGGCCGGAAGAACCCCAGGCACCCGCACAGGCTGGGAGGAGTGGTCCTTGAGAGCAGCTCGGCAGAGAAGGACCTGGGGGTCCTGATGGACGAGAGACTGAACATGAGCCAGCAGTGCGCTCTGGCAGCTCGAAAGGCAAATGGGATCCTGGGCTCCATCAGGAGAGGGGTGGTCAGCAGGGACAGGGAGGTGATTGTCCCTCGCTACTCGGCTCTTGTGAGGCCCCATCTGGAGTCCTGTGTCCAGGTGTGGAGCCCTCAGTACAAGAAAGACATTGAGATTTTGGAAAGGGTCCAGAGGAGGGCGACTAAGATGATCAGGGGGCTGGAGCACCTCCCCTATGAGGACAGGCTGAGGGAGCTGGGCTTGTTCAGCCTGGAGAAGAGAAGGCTGCGGGGTGACCTCATTGCAGCCTATCAATACCTGAAGGGAACCTACACCCAGGAGGGGAGTAAACTCTTCAAAAGGGCTGACAACAGCAGGACTAGGGGAAATGGATCGAAGTTGAAGGAGGGAAGATTTAGGTTGGATGTTAGGGGGAAGTTCTATACAAGGAGAGTGGTTAGGCCCTGGAACGGGCTGCCCAGGGAGGTTGTGGATGCCCCGTCCTTGGATGTGTTTAAGGCCAGGTTGGACGGGGTCCTGGGCAACCTGATCTGAATGTGTGTGTTTGGTGGCCCTGCTAGGCAGGGGGGTTGGAACTACATGATCCTTGAGGTCCCTTCCAACCCGGGTGATTCTGTGATTCTGTGATTCTGTGAAAAGCGAAGGGGCTCTATGGATTGACCTCACAGTGGAGGGCTCTGGTGCCAAGCTGCAGGTGCTGAGATACATTCAGTCCCCATGTCACCTCCAGTGCATGGGGCGGCACCTGGGGCTGGTATCATGGCAGGATGTGGTCCTCGGCATGGGTAGGGGATTTGCCAGCCCAACAAAGCAGGGCCACTTGTGTCCCAGGTGCTGAAATCAGTCCACACACTGCCTTGGCATTATGTGCTTTGCCTTGTGTGTCCATAACACGCAGCTGCAGCCCATGGCTGTGGGAGGAAGGGAAGCAGAGCATGGTTGTGCTCAAGTTCAGAATTTTCCCAATGTGTAGCAAGGAGAAGTGTTGTGATGGGAGGGTGAACGAGCAAGTAGAGGACTTCCTGATAGCGTGAGCCATGTTGCCAGGTTTCAGATGGGGCAATGAAGGGCTTTTGGAGAAGCTGAGCTGTTAGCACGACGATGGGCTGATGAATCGTGCTGGGAGCAACATGAAGATGTGGTTTTTGGGGGACCTCTCTGATATGTGGAATTTCCCTCGTTATTTTCCAATGATTCCCCAAATGAGGAACTTATGCCAACTGATGCCCATCTGCTTTTACATCTCTAAGCTGAAAATGCCCAGAGCACCAGCAGGCAGGTAGGGGTAAAGGCTGAGCTGCTGCCAGAGGTGGAACGGCCACTCTTCAGGATTGTTTAGAGGACTGCACACTGCTGGGAAACAGCAGACATGATCTCGGAGCCTGGATCAGTCTGCTTTGTGCCCCTGGGGCTGTTACCTGTTGTCAGCCCACACTCCAGCACCCGGACAGTGGCTCAGCTCTCCAGCCTGCGGGATCAGAGCCAGCTCACTGCTCAACCCGGGTCCTTTTTTCCTCAATTTCTCCCAGGCTGAGATACACTGATGAGGGGAGGTCTGTCCTGATGCATTCTCCACATGGCTTCAATGCTAGAATGGAATCCAGGAACCAGGACTGTTCACAAAGTCCTCCTGCATGCCCAGGTTCTGTGAGAGCAGCTGCTCCCATCACAGCACCTAAAATCTGTTCTCAGGGAGCAATGAGGTTGCAAAAGGGGCATGCAGCCTGCCCAGAAAGCAGTTCTGGCACTGGCAGAGCTTCCTTCTATGATGAGGAAGCTTCTTGCACCGCAAGCAACTGCTCTGCCCAGCTGTTTCCTTCCAGCGCATGCACATCACGCTGATGCAGTCAGGCGGGCGCACTGAGAGGTGCTGCCTGTGGGGAGGAGGGAGCATGGCCCCACAGTGGACCCTTCTCCTGGTCCTAGTGACTCTGCTGGCAGCGCCGGAGACGGAACAACATGCCACCAACGACAGAGGATATTCCTGGTATCCAGGTAAGGGATGGCCACTCTCCCCTGGCAAAGGGAGGTCTCACCGCTCGCTTGCTGCGCGTTTGCTGCGTATTTTGACCATGAGCAGCACACAGAAGGGCCAGAGGTGTTACTCACAGCAGGAGCCGCAATACATGGGCATCAGTCGGGGTCGAGCTGCCGTGAGCTGTGTGGTGCTGTCTTTAGGAGACCACATAAATGCTTTCCCCTGTGCCATGCCTCTGTGTGCAGTGACATCTCCTAAAGGCTGCTCTTAGTACAGGCTATGGGGTGCCCAAGCCATAAGCTGGGGGCCCTTCAGGGAAATCCAGGAGAAGGGGCTCTCCAGGTCCATGAGACACAGTCATGGTGCCCATCCCCAGCTCTGCAGCCTGGCATGAGGGGGAACTGCAGAGCACCACACACAGCTCATTTTCTAGGAGCGCATCAGGGTTGTTTTGTTATTTCCAACATCTGCCAGCAAAGCTGAGACAAGGGGCTGATATTTAATCTCAGCAGAGCCCTTCAAGTCGTCTCTGTAGTTCAGGAGCAATCTGAGTTCCCAGGAGGTGGAGGACCCATCCAGAGGCTAGGCCCGGGGCCATTACCCTGCTTTCTGCCTGCTTTCTGTCTGACCTGGAGTCTCTCTCTGTACTGACCTTGCCACAGCTGGATGACAAAAAAATGTTAAATGAGCACTGTGTTGTCCCACCCTGCTGTGTGGCACAGAGGAGGAGTGCAATGGAGGAGTGCCCTGTGCTTGCAGGGAGTGGAGCACAGCACACTGTCACTGTAACACTGGGGGTAAAGTCAGTGGCAGTGAACATCCCCTGCCTGCAGTACCCAAACCCCCTGCTCAAACTGTCCTGATGGGCTGGAGAGTGTAACTATGCCCATGTGTAGTTTTCCAGCTCATTTGCCCAGTTCATAAGGGCAGGTGGAGTCCAGGACACAGTGGGGACACAGTGGGACCTGGTGACCACATGGCGTGCTCTGCACAACTACGTCACCTGCCTGTCCCAGGAGCTGCCTGTGGTGAGGATAATGTTTGCTGAGTTTGCACTTCTGTGTTTGTGAAGAAGAGGAACTGAGACACGAGTGCTCGGCAGCCACACACAGCAGCTCTGCCTGCACCCTCAGTTTGTGTACATCCACACCCAGAGCAGTGCCATGGTCCCCCTGGGGTCAGGATCCTTGCATCACAGAGGACCAGGAGAGGGGGATGGTCAGGATGGAGCCCTGCTGGAGCCATCTTACATATGATGGCCAGAGGTAGTGGGGCAGGGCAGACCCCCTGGGAAGAGATAGGGAACAAAGGGAGCAGAGGTCCCTGCACATCCCCCCTAACCGTGGAGGGTACAATGAAAGAGTGGGGAACAACCCCAGGCCACAGTGATTTTGGGTAGCGTGGAGGAAACGACATGACATAAGGAGCATCCCAATGCTGGGTGAGGCAGCCCCACAGTCAGCACTGCCAGCACCGTGAGCAGCTGCCAGCAGAGGATGTGGTCGGGGCGTATGGTGCATTGTGTGCACCAAGCTGCACTGTTCCTTTGTCCTGTTGTCTCCTGACTGCCCCCCTGCACTGCTTCTGTGGGGTTTTAACACCTGAACGAAGGCCTCAGCTCCTCACAGCATGCTCAAAAGGGAGGTGGGCAAGCCTATAGGGGGTGTCTTCCTGTAGAGCTTGACCATACGCAGTGACATACAGGCAGACAGGCAAGAGCTGTAGCAGCAGTGCCTGCTGCCACTGTAAGTGTGAGTAAGAGAGACCTGGATTTCAAACAGGGCCTCGAGTAAATCCTGGGGGGAGCACAGACTCCAGGGGACACCACAGAAACTGTGAACTCTGTGCTACTCTCTGATGACCCCTCCTGCCATCCACACCCAGAGCTTCACCAGGTTTCGCTTTGCTACACTCCTGGAACGTCCTGCAGCAGGAACAGGTGCTCCATATGACTGCTGTAAAACACCTGCTGCATTTGTGTCTGCAGAGCAGAGGCAACAAGGGGTTAATCACTGCATGAAAAACAGCACAGTACTGCGTGTCTGCAAAGCACACAGACCAACCTTTCTGCAGTCAGCACGCATAACATGCTGAGTGCAGCCTCTTTGTCACGCCTGAACCATATTTTCCATGCTGAACCATCACCAGGCTTTTTCCTGCACTTTGTGCGAGGCCTGTAGGCGGCTGTCTGTGCAGTGAGGGTGTGAAAAACAGCCTTCAAAGGTAGTTTCTCTGCTCGCAGGATGCTGTCAGTTCCTACCAGGCTGGGAGCTGTGTGTTTCTCTCTATCTTCTCTTTGAATTCCATCCTAGTGATACAGGGCCAACCAGACATGCTGAGACTCACCTGAGCCCCTCATGTTCCTGCAGGCACCCCAAAGCAGGCACCAGGTTGGAGATTTTTGCCCCAAATGCCCTAATTGGGATTTTATAAGAACAATGAAGAGGTGACAGCTCTCTGAGCACCTTCCATCCACACCGTGCTCCACTCCTGCCCCCAAGATCCCACATCTCCTCATGCCATCCATTGCTGACACCACAGTCAGCCATGGCCAAGCCTCAGCCCTCCTCCTTGTGCCCCTGTCCCTGAGATGGACTGTCACATTTTGTCCCAGCAGAGCAGTGCACCAAGCCGCAGTGGGACAACAGACTTCAGTGGGACTACAGACTTCAGTTTACACCAGACAGAGACAGTTATGGGGTGAATGAGGAACTGCAGCTGACCTGCCCTGGACATCTCAAGCCCTCCTTCAGCAGCATCAAATGTGTAAAGCAATTCCAAGAATCAAGTCCTATAACACAATATGTCTGGATGTGGAGGAACAGCGCAGCTGCCTGGATCCGCATAGAAGGGGCCGTTCAGTGTGTTGGTGAGTGAGAGCAGCACACAGTGTGGGGGCAACGCGCAGCAGGAGGGCCGGGTCCTGTGCCCTGTGCCTTGGGGGTCGGACCAAGGAGTGGATGGAGAGGACAGTCCTGGGTAAATCCCAACTACGGGCCGCGAAGAGGGGCAAGGGGTGGCAGGGATGAGGGTGCAGTGGGACAGTTTGTGACTCTGAGGGTCACTGGGACATACAAGGTGTGAATGAGAGGTCAGCGGGACGTACAAGGTGAGCCCCTTCCCAAGAGCTGTTCCAGCGGTCGTATCATGGCAGATGGACATGCCACTTTCTGCCTCTCCAGTGACCGGAGGGCTGCAGGTGTTTGCTGGTACCCACCGTGCTCTGTCCCGCCTCACCAGCTCCCACCCTAACTGAACCCATTTTCACCTCTGCCAGAAACGTGCCAAAGGCCCCGGTGGGATACAGAACTCCATCTGGCACCAAACCTGGAGGAGTACAGCAAGAACGAAGAAGTGATGCTGAGCTGCCCCGAGGGTTTACAGCCATCCTACACCCGTGTCAGATGTGCAGGGGGAAATGGGGCTTTGGATTATGCTGGATCTGTATATAGAGACACGTGGCTGGGGTGGAGCAGCTTTGGAACCTGGGTCCGCATTGAGGAGACTGTGCAGTGCCTTGGTAAGTGGAGTGGCAGGAGGTGCCTTCTCTGCAGCTCTGTGCTCAGTCTTCTCACCCTCTTCCCTCTCTGAGTTTCCCACCTCCAAACTGACCGCAGGAACATCATCCTGGTGCCTGATCGGGCTCGCAACTGAGCCCAGCTCTCTGTGCTATCGGAAGTCACTTCCCCAGACTGGCTCTTGGTCCGTGCCAGGCACTCAGCCATGTTGACTGCAGCACACAGCTGGATGTGATCTGCAAACTGCTGAGGGCACACTCCATCCCACTGTCCGTGTCACTGATGGTGATATCAAAGAGTTGGCAGACCCAGTACTGACCCCTCTGGGACAGCACTCATCACTGGTCTCATCTGGACATTCAGCCATTGACCTCCACTTTCTGGGTACACTCTCGCAATCAATTCATGGTCCATCGAAAAATTCACCCATGACATCTGTATCTTTCCAATTTGGAGAGAAGGATGTGATGAGAGACCACCAGTCAAAGGCCTTACTGAAGTCCAGATTACATCCACACCGTGCTCCTCTGCTGCTCCTGGGCCTCACATCTCCTCATGCTGTCCGTTGCTGACACCACAGTCAGCCATGGCCGAGACTCAGCCCTCCTCCTTGTGCCCCTGTCCCTGAGATGGACTGTCACATTTTGTCCCAGCAGAGCAGTGCACCAAGCCGCAGTGGGACAACAGACTTCAGTTTACACCAGACAGAGACAGTTACAGAGTGAGTGAGGAGCTGCAGCTGACCTGCCCTGGACATCTCAAGCCCTCTTTCAGCAGCATCAAATGTGTAAAGCAATTCCAAAAATCAAGTGCAGTAACACAGTACGTCTGGATGGGGAAGAAGGTCTCTGGTGCCTGGATGCTCATTGATAAGAACGTATCATGTAAAGGTAAGTGAGGCAGCAGCATTTCTACTCATCCCCTCTCTGCCTTCACACCAAAATGCCACCCACAGCATTGCCCAGCAGACACACGTCATTGGGCAGGGTGTGGGGCTAGCTCTGAGAGGCTCCCAAGACTGTCCTGCTCTTTGCTGTGGCTGCCGATGCCACCCTGGTGTGCACTGCTCTGCAAACCCTTGTTTCCTGTGCAGAGGAGGGGTCCCCGGGACTCCTCCAGCAGCTGCAGGAGCTGCAGTGTGGGAGACAGAAGGGATAAATGAGTGGGGGGTGCAGGGAGCACTGGGTACCTGGATGGGAGCCAGTGGGGATATGCCAGAGGGAAGGGCAGTGCCCTCCCACAGGACAAGGCTGTGCTACCTGTGGGGATGATTGCAGGGAGGTGGGCAGGGAAAAAGGTGCCATTCTTGCTGCCAGAGTTCACGCTCCCATGGCTAGAAAGGTGCATATGAGCCTTCTGCCTGCAAGTCGGGGCAGGCAGTGTGAAGAGGGTGAAAGAAGCAGGCTGTGACCAACCCCTGAGCAAGGAGAATGCAGAAGAGATTTGCTGGAGCCTAGGGAGATCTGGAGCATCATAGGCACTCAGGGATTTCAGGGATGGAGGCAGGTTTGAAGGAAAGAAAAGAGATGTCTGATTAGGAAGTGTCCAGGTTATGTCTTGTTGTGGGGGGCAATGGATGCCCCTGGCTGTGAGAGCAGATCAGGTGTGTGGGGATCAGTTGTGGCTCCAGAGCAAGAGGAAGGCTTCCATCTTTGGTCCTGGCAGAGGTGTCTGTGTCTTCTCATCTGTGTTTGGGATCCAGAAGGCGTTTCTGGGGATCCCTGCCAACCCCATCCTCAGGCACTGCCACACCTCACCATTTCCCACCCTAATTGAACCTGCTTCCATCTAAAATAGAAATGTGCCAAAGGCCCTGCTGACACCCTGCTCTCCATCTGGCACCAGATCTGGAGGAGTATAGGAAGAAGAAATGGGTGATGATGAACTGCCCTGAGGGTTTACAGCCATCCTACTCCCACTTCATACGTATAGGAAAACTGAAGTCCCTCAGCAATGGGACATCCAAAGAAGTCCACAAGGGAAGGCACATCAGTAATGCCTGCAGCTGCATCTGGTCCAGTGCAGACTGCCTGAATAAAGGGGCACCAGGAGCCGTCCTGGGAACCCCACATTGCCCTTCCTACCCAGAGAAAGGCAGGCTGTGTGAGCATGACAGAATTCAGGCTCTGCATGTGCCGGGGAAGTGGGAGGTGCTGCCGAAGGGCTGTGGTGTAGGAAGGCTGATCCACATCATGACCAGAAACTCCATCCCTCACCACTGTGTACCAGGGCAGCAGCTCTTCTGTTAACATCTTCCCATGTTTTTGGTGCAGGGAAATGTCAGAAGCCACAGTGGGATTCCAGGATTCGTTTTGTCCCAGACCAGGAATTCTACAACTTCAATAAAGCGGTGACACTGACATGCCCTAATGGGTACTGGCCTTCTGCCATGGAGATCACTTGTGTGAAGCCAAGACCACACCAAAGCCTCCCAGCTCCTCAGAGCATCTGGTTTATGAAGAACAGCACAGGCTTATGGCCGTTGGCAGTGGGATACACGAGATGTGTGGGTGAGTGAGGACCTTTGTGAGTGAGGGAAGGTGAGCATGATGGAGGTCTCCTGCATTTCTGCTGGCCCCATTACGTAGGCACACATGGATACTGTCTCTCCCTCTGGAACAGCTGAGCAGGGTTACAGTGCCAGGAGCCTGAGCAGCAGCACGGCTCTGCCCTTGTCTCTTGCTGGTGGACACGGCTGATGCCTAAGTGCATTCCCCAGTGAATGGTGGCACGGCCTCATCCATCCCACCTTTGCAGCCCCGTGCCCAGCTGGCACTCAGCCCCTACCATGCCAAATGCCCTGCTGAGAGCCGGGTTGCTGGTGGAGCTGTCATTGGGCAACCAGGAGAGATGACGGGGAGGTGTGCCTGTTGGTTGTGTCAGCAGCTGCAGTGCCTGTGGGAACAGCCAGATGAGCGGTGGGGGCCTGAAGGGTGCCTGAAGGGGTACAGTTACCTCCAGCAGTGACTACCGACCCAAAGTTAATGTCCAGCTGCTATAAATGCTCTGGTAACTCCTCCAGCTTCTTCATCCAGAGGCCTGAATGAGCTGTTTCATCCTCCTGTTTCCCTTCTTGTAGCAGGGTTGTGTGTCAGCAGCACCATTAAAAGGGTGGAGCGGAAGGCAAGGAATTGACCCTATTGCAATACTTCCTTTGCAGAGGTGCTAGAAGTTGTCCCTGCGACCCTGGAGGTTTCCAGCACCAGCATCAAACTGAACTGGACCTGCAGATTCCCTGATGCCTGCCAGCACGTGCAGGCCACATGCCGGCTGGCAGGGCCTTCCTCACCTCCTTGTACGGCTGAGGAGGTCACTGGAGTGGAGCTCCTACACGGACAGAGGGGAACATTCACCTGTCCTCCCCTGCAGCCCTTCACTGACTACACTGTCACCATCTCGGTGCCCCCCAGCACAGTCCTGTTTTCATGGATGATCAGGACAAAAGAAACAGGTAGGTGTCCATGGCATAGTACAGGAGGGAAGGGACATTCCTGGGCTGGTTCACCAGCAGAGAGGCAGAGAGAGGTGACCTTTGCCCAGCACTTCATTCTGAGCATCCCTCCCTGCTGTGATGGTGCTGGCATTGGGGCTGCATGCAGAAGAGGCTGTGCAGAGTCCTGGAGCAGAGCTCTTTCCTTCCTACCCCTCCCTCCTCACCACACCATCGCTGCTCCTGCTGTTGTGAAATCCACGCTCCTTTTGTGGCACAAAGCATGCTTGGGTTTGCTGCGCAGCCTGCCCCTGGGCAGTAGCTGAGGGCATCCTGCTGTGGGCTCAGACCTTCTCTGCCAGCCCCACTTGTGACTCCGTTTTCCTGCGCTTCCAGTGCCGCAGAAGCCGGAGCAGCTGCAGCTGGATGCCAGCACGGGGACCCTCAGGTGGAAGGCGCTGCCCTCCTGCCAAGGGGAGATCGTTGGGTACCAGGTACCAGGGGCCCCCACCCAGCCCCTCCCTCCCTGCTGACAGCTCTGTGCACGCAGGTGTGCAGACCATGGAAAGCCCTGAGGACCAGCAGTCACCCATCCACGTGCTGAATTTCTGGCTGTCATGAATTTGAGCATTTCCGACTTCCTCTCAGTGGTCCTCAGTCCCCAGTGATGTATTTGGCGGGGTGGCCTTACAGGCTTTCCTGTGCCTCTTGCATTCTTATCTTTTCTCTGGCCATGACAAAGGCTGTGGTTTGCAGTGCTAGAAGCAGGGCTGAGGGAGGAGAGCGCTGCACCCAGCTTGTAGCCACCTCAATTTGTGACGTGATTCACAAATCATGAGGATGCCTTGCAGAGGGCTTGCAGAGCAAAGGCACAGTCCAAGCAACTCCATTTTCTGCAGCTGCTCTGGTGCTATCTAGAGGGTTAGCTCCAGAGTCTTTCCTGCCCTGCTCTGCTCAGCACTGACGCTTTGCTCACACACACACAGGGCCGAGGCTCCCGCTGAGCTCTCTGGGCACCTGCAAGAGCTGGGATAGGAACAGGGGCAGGAGGAGCAGAGCAACGTCTTGCTGTCTGGCTGTGGTGTGGGCAGGCTCCTGCAGGATCGTGGCCGCTGCCCTCCAGCTCCGTGTCCTGTCCCCAGCTGAACGTCACGGCCAGGGCCTTGCAGGACGGCGGCTTCCTGCAGATCGAGCGGCTGAGGCTGAGCAGCCAGACCACGGAGCACCCATTGCCCGCGTACGGCCCCGGCACCACATATGCGGTGGCCGTGCGGGGCCTCACAGCCGTGGGTCCCGGAGCTGCATCGCAGTTTCACACCAGCGGCTCAGGTGAGGGTCTCCGCACGCAGCTCCTCCTCCTGCCCCTCCGTGCCAGTCTGCTGAGGCTCATCATGGGGATCTTCCTCTGCAGAGACGCCCGATGGCTGCTCCCGCCTCCTGCTCGATACCTCTCCATCTCAGGGCACCGCCGTGCTTCCCCTGCACCCCATCTCCCAGCGCCCTGAGGCAGCGAGGTGAGCGCAGCCCCGGCTGCTCTGCTCTTGCAGCCCTGAGCACTGCTGCATCCCTTAAGCTGCCTCTGTCCACCTCTCTCCATTCCCGTCTCTATTACCGCCCCCACAGCCTCACTTTCTCCACCCTCATCCCCATCTCACTGCCCTACCTCCATCTCCAACCTCATTCCCATCCCCCTCCTCACCACCCATCCACATTCCTATCTCTACATCCCCACCCCCATTCCACACCCCCATCCCTTCCTCCACCCCAATCTCCATCCCTATTCTTCTTCCCATCCCCTTCCCCATCCCCATCCTCAGCCCCTTCCCCGTCTGTTCTCACTGCTGTCCTCATTCCTATCCCCATCCCTGCTCCCGAGCTCATCCCCATGTCGCTCTCATCCCCTTCCCCGTGTCCCCTCATCCCCATCCCCCTCTCACAGCCCTGCCTTGCAGTGAGCACCAGCTGCTCGTGGCGGTGACACACAACAGCACGGTGCTGGAAGACGCCTGCTCGGGGGAGCTGCAGCCCTCCAACCACAGCCACCCTGCTGACCCCTACGTGGCCGCCGTGCTCAACCTCAGCGCGCCCACGGACTTCGTGCTGGGTGACGGGGCCCGCGGGCACGGCTTCCACAACGCTCCCCTGCACCCAGGATGGGATTACACCGCCCTGCTGCGCCTCGCCCGGCGCTCACCGCAGGTACCCGTGCCGGGGGCTCTTGTGCACGGGGCGCGGCAGCGACCGCCGTGTCCTCGGCCACGGCTGGGGCCTTTGGTGGCCCTGGGTGGCAGCTCCTTGCTGTGTGGTGGCTGACGTGGGATTGCTCTGAGCCTCCGTCCTGTGCCCTTCAACAGGCGGAGACATTCACCTGCGTGTGCTACAGCTTCTCCATGGGTAAGTGGTTCCTCTGCCCCACACCTGTGCCTGAGGGTCTTTCTGTACCCCCCCTTTTCCCAGCCCATATCCTTGCAAGGAGAGGAGCTGGGCAGTCCAGGAGCTCTTGTGGGAGCAGAGGAAACTTCTGTTTCCCAGATACTGGGAGTATTTACCTGCTATAACCGGTTCCTACCTCCATCTTCTTGGATGCTCTCTGGATCCTGAGGCTCTCTGTGGGTGCACAGGCTTTGGTACCCCTGGCCTTTTGGGCAGGTGTGCATGGCTGCAGCTGGACCCCCTGCAGCTTCCATGCCATCATCTCTCCTCACATCTCAGTCCTAATACTGCCCCAGTCCACATGCAACCCCAGAAACACTAACGCCTTGCCCAGCTTTGTGCTGAGGGAAAGGCATGGAGGCATGCCCATGCTGAAGGGCATCGCACCCAGCATCACCCCTCCTTCTGCATCAGCAAGGCTGCTTCCCTTCTCAGAACCTTTGCTAGGAAATGAAGGGAGCTCCTTTCCTCCCCACACCACTGTAGGGTCTCCTTCCCGTGGGTTTGGGTTATGTGGAGCATGATCCTGGGCTTCGCTTTTTGCAGGGCAGGAGTCAATTCCTCTGCTGCACAGACTGCCTGTGCTGATGGCATTTGTGCTGGCCGCTGTAGTCTTGGCACTGGGGATTTTCCTGCTCCCCCTGTTCGTCAGGTCAGTTCACGTCTCTTCTCTCCCGCTCTTTGTTCTGTCCAGGGGCTGCCTGGTATGGACCCTGAAATAAAGCAGGACATGTTGCCATGTGGGCACCCCCCTCTGCTCTCCACCTCCTGCTGATCTTTTGGCTAACTTGCTGTCTTGCAGGCAAAAGTGCAACAGATCAGACACCTCTGAGATCAACAGCAGTATCCCCCTCCAGAAGTGTCGCAGAGGTGCAGTATGAGCAGTCTGAACAGGCTGCTTGGTAGAAAAGTGAGCAGGGTGCTCCCAGGCACTGTGAGATTCCTTGCAGAGCAAAGAGGGGCAAAGCTGGCTGGTATGGGGAATGAGACACCTCACAGAGAGGGAGACATGCATGGGCCAGGATGAAGCTGGGTTTGGTAGGGTTCTGCCCAGTGAAATGCCAGCTCACTCCCATCAGCTCATGCTGACCTCCTGTCCTGATGTTCCCATAGGTGCCAGTAATCTGAGCACACTGATCCTTGTGGAGGAATTGCTGGATGCTCTGAAGAGGCTTCAAAGGGCAGAGATAGAGGCAGAGCAGATGGAGGATGAATCAGCTGACAGGCACGATGCAGGGCGTCTGGGCGAGTACCAGGTCTGTATTAGGTGTTCTTTCCCATCTGGTTGCACCATCCATCCAGCACCAGCCCCTCCTTGGGTGTGTGAGGCACTCAGCCTCACATCCACCAGAACCTGGACTAATGCAGAGCTCCTCTTCCTCCTGTGCAGAAACTGGCTTCCTCCCTCTGCCACTCCTGCAATGCTGGGAAGGAACTATGTAACGAGGGCAAGAACCGCTACAAGAGCATCATTCCGTGTACGCAAAGCTCTCCTGGAGCTCAAAACTCCTCTGTGGCTGATGCAGTGTGGACATCTGCCATTTCGCTAATGGTCTCCTCTCAAAACACACCGCATCTTCTTCCTGTGCCATGTTCCCCGTTGTTTTGTTAGCTCTTCTTTCTTTCTGAACTTGTCCCAAGGCTTGGAAAGCTCCTGAGGAAAGATCAAACAGAGCTTTCCTAAAAGATACTTCCCTCCTTAGACAGTCATTTCAGTGCTGCCCTGAAGGGACAGCCCACTGACTCCCACCTCCCTCTCTCCCTCCCAGACGATCACTGCCGTGTGGTGCTGCAACCCTCTGACACAGGGAATGACTACATAAATGCCAGCTACGTGGATGTAGGTAGCGAGGAGGATGGCTCCTCTACTTCTTGCCATATTAAATGTTCAACATGGGTGACTGGAGCTCTTTGAAACTCTCCCCCACAGAGCTACCGGAGCCCGCGCTTCTTCATTGCTGCTCAAGGTGGGTGCTCCCAGCCCTGGGAGCTGCCCAGAGCTGGCACAGGTCCTCAGAAGCTGCCAAACTCTCTGAGTCCCTTTGAAGTCCCTTTGGGATGGGTTGGTTTGCTCTGTGCAGAGAGCAGAAGGGGTTCTCAGGGTCCTTACAAAGCTGCTGAATTATTTTGGGTAAATAGGACTCCAAATGTGGAAACTCAGGTTGGATATTAGGGAAAAATTCTTCTCAGAAACAGTAGATAGGCACTGTAACAGGCTGCCCAGGGAGGTGGGCAGAGTCTGACGATGTCCAAGAAACATGTGGATGTGGCACTGAGGGACATGGTTAGTGGGGTGGGGGAGTGGGCTGGGTTGGACTAGGTGATTTTAGAGGCCTTTTCCAACCTTGTGATTCTATAATTCTATGATCATTGTGGGGACATAGGTGGGACAGGCACTCATTTTCAGATGAGTGGGCAGCAGCTCACTTTCAGGCTTGGTGCAGTGACCACTGTCCTGTGCCAGTACCCATCAGTACTGGTGCACTCTAGGCTCATCCACCCTCCCTTTTGCTGGACCCCTTTTCTAAAGTGGGTGCCAAAGTAGGGGTGCCCCATACCCGTGGCCATGTACTGCCATGCCCAGGCTGTGTCACATCAGCCCTGGGAAGAGGGAAATGTGGGGCTGCACCAAGGAGCCTGGGGGCACCTCCATGGTTTGGGCTCTGACACAGGGCTCTCCTCTTCCTTCCCAAGGCCCTTTGCCTGGGACAGTGGTGGATTTCTGGCAGATGGTCTGGCAGGAGAAGACTTCAGTCATTGTGATGCTGACAGGCTTGGTGGAGCACAACAAGGTAAGCATCCCAGCCTGTGCTCAGCTCTGGTCTCCCAGTGCCCAGTTCCCTTGCTTTGCTTTGCTCAGCACAACCCTCAGTAAGGTCACGAAGCATCTCCACACCTCCACTTGCAACGCTCCCCTAATGAAATTGTTGGTGCTGCCATTGACAGATCAAGTGCGAGCAGTACTGGCCAGAGCAGCAGCAAGTATATGGGGACTTCACTGTAACACTCAACAACACCAGGACCACCATGGGCATTGTTACACGTGTCTTCTGCCTGCAGAAGGTAAGGCTGTCATGCAGCTGTGATGGGGTTGCAGGGCTCTTCTGGAGTTATCAGCTGAAATTCAGTCTTGCTTGGGGTCAGCCTTGTTGTCACCAAGCACTATTCCAGAGCATCAACCCTGGGTTTCTATGCAAGGCAAAAAGACAAGCAGTCAGCTCCAGTGATCACCCTGACTGAGTCTGGACTATGTACCTGGGCAGATCCTGCACTCCCAAGGGCCTGGGAGAGGTGATCACAAAGGGTGGAAAAGTAGCTAAAGGATATGAAAGGGCATCTCTCCACATCCAGGCTTTTCAGAGTGATGAGACAGGTACTTGCCATCTGGGTCAACTTGCAGAAGATCCACATGAAAGCACTGTGGTGCCTTGAGGTTCCTGAACTTGAACAGAGAGATTATGGTTTAAGGTATATTAATATCCTCAAGATTTTTCTCAGGATGGGTACTTCCACTGAAGGTTGGAGAAACCAAAAGAGTTGCAAGGAGAAGAAAATGAGTACAGCTGCTAATGTTACACATGTTCTTGTCTTGCCTAGAACAAAGTCCACCTAAAAAGTAAGACTCCAAGAGCACCTGGTGGTGGGACATGGAAGTTCATTAGTTCAAGCCAAGTGAATACAGGATGGCCTGGTACCAAAGTGGCTACACGCATATCAGTTAGCATCAGCCTTAGGAAATGCCTTATTTGGGAAAGCTATGGTTTTCTGAAGACTATGGAGAGTCTCAACACCGTGATATTTATTTCTTTCCTCTGAGACACAGGCTGCATTCACTGCTTTGAATTCACAGTTCTTATTGTGTGGAGGCAGAGAATAAAGCAAATTATGTGGTATGGTGAATTTGCTCAGAGTCCTCGTGGTGCCCTTTGCTGTCTGATCAGCTACAGTGGAGCAGCCATTGTATTGGTGGTGCTGTGGGAGGGCTGAGTGCTGGTGCATACCTGCCATGCTTTTCCTCTACTTGTTGACAAGTGCTTCACATAACTTCTCAGGCTGGTTCCTGCTCCAGCCACATCTCCCTCCTTGCAGGCAGGATACGCTCTCCCAAGAGCAGTGGAGCAGTTTCACTACACGCAGTGGCCAGACCATGAGGTGCCCAGGAACCCTGCCCAGCTGCTGTGCCTAGTGGAAATGGTGAACAAAAGTGGATCAGAATCTCCTGCGGGTCCTGTGCTGGTGCACTGCAGGTACTGGGATGGGAATGCTCATGTGCTGGACCAAGGCTGGTTAGAGCAGTACCAACCCCTCTTCTGTGTCCTTAGTGCAGGGATCGGGCGAACAGGCACCTTCATTGCCCTGGACTTCCTCCTGAAGATGGCAAAGGCTGAGGGAAAGGTGGATGTGTTCCACTGCGTGCAGAAGCTGCGGGAGCAGAGGGTCTGTATGGTGCAGACCAAGGTGAGGGGAATCACCTGCTGCCCACATGCTGTGGGACTACAGGTTTGCCCCCCCCCCCCCCTCCCCTATGATGCAATCTGTGCTGTGATCTGTCACATGGTCCCATTACCAGGACTGGAGCTGCCAGGTGATAGAGACTGGAGGGTTTTGTTATCATTGTGCTGTCCAAACCTAGGGACCCTCTGAGACTCTCTAAAGCAGCATCAGCATGTATATGTACCAACAGTCCTGGCACAGAAGGGCAGGTCTTTGCTCTTATAGGCAAGGAGTGCATGTGTCCTTCAGGCTTTCAGGATGTTTGCCCACACGGCATCATCTGGCCAAGAGACTGTGTTCCCACAGTCTGCTCACAGCTGTGTCCCTATGGAGGAAGACGTAGGTTGGACAGGCCTGTCCAACTGCTCGCAGGATGAGTGGTTCACTGGTTTTCTGGACTTCCTTCCTGAGAGCGGGGGTCTGGTTTGAGAGGTAGCAGAGAAAGATGGTCTTGTCTGGGTGGTTGCAGTTGCTGGCTGCTTCTCAGAATAGGGTTGCCTGCCCCAGGGGTGTCTGGCAAGGAGGTGAAGGGTGGAGCTGGCACAATCCTGATGCAGGTTAGTGTGTGGCAGTCTGTGGGAAGTAGTCTGGAGTCCTAGTGCTGCCCATGGAGCTGCTCCAGATGGTACACTAACTCACATCTCCATGCAGGAGCAGTATGCCTTTTTGTATGAGGTGCTGCTAGAAGGCTTGCTCTGTGGCTGTACTGGGGTGCCAGTGGAGAGAGTTGCCAGTCACATCAGCTGCCTCCAAGGAGCTGAGATCCAGAGCCAGAACAACATCCTGGAGAAAGAGTTCAAGGTACCCTCAGGACCTGGTGCAGCGGGTCTGCTGCCTCCTGCTGTGGGTGAGAGGTGGGGGGAGTGTTTCTTTGTGGTTTATCTGGAGATGGAAAGGGAGCTGACAGGAAGGGCTTGCTCAGGTGAATCATCCCTTACAGGCAGTGCAGAAATTTTCTGAGTTGTTCCAGCTCCTGCCGTGCAGAGAAGCAGAGAAACCCAGCAATCAGCCCAAGAACCGCAAGCCAGGGATCCTGCCAGGTACTGCAGGACTGGGCAGCTCATTGCTCCACGATCCAGCTCCTGAGAGCAGCGAGGGGGAGGATGCTGTTGCCAGCACTGCTGATTCCCTCCCCAGCACCATGACAGAAAAATGGGACTAACCATTCTGCCCCTGGGACCAAATGCCAGTTTCTGGTTGATGTTGCATAGTATCATAGAATCATACAGATTGGAAAAAGTCTTCAAAACCACCAAACCCAACCATAAACCTGACCTATCAAGGCCGATCACTAAACCATGTCCCTCAGTGCCACATCTTAGCATCTCTTAAACACCTCCAAGGATAGGGACTCTACCACTTTCCTGGGCAGCCTGTTCTAATTCTTTACCACCCTCTCTGTGCGGAAATTCTTCCTAATGTCCCATTTAAATATCTCCTTGTACAAACTGAGACTGTTACTTAACATAGGCAAAGCATTCCCTCCATGTGAACCACACCTCATCCCCACCTCCTTCTGTGCTTCCACAGCTGAACTTAACCTTCTCCATCCTAAATCTAATCACAGCCTGAATTCTAACCCTAACCCTAACCCTAACCCCAACCTTGACTCTAACCACAACTGTCACCCTAACCCTCACTGTCACTGGGAGGAGCCCAGATCAGGCACCAGATAGTGATCAGGAATGGGGTTCACAGCTGCTTCAGAGCCTTCCCCCTCACTCCCCTCTGTGCAGGCTCAGCCCTTCTCTGCCCTTGCCTCCACAGCGGACTCCTTCAGGCCCATCCTGATGTCCTCGCTGAACGCAGACGGTTCGCCAGGCTACATCAACGCCGTGTTTGCCAATGTAAGGCTGCAGTCAAGAGGGCTTGGGGCTGCAGGGAGCAGCAGAGGCTCCGCGAGCACCCAGAGCAGAGCTGGGCTCAGTCGCCCAGCTTCAGGCACCCCAGGCCGAGTGCTCCATCCTGGTGACTGTACCCGGTGCCTGGGGCCCTGCTGCCAGGAGATGGCCCCCGAGTTCAGCCGCAGGCCTGACAGCGCGCAGCTCAGCGGGCTGCCGCGCGGCTGCTGCCTTTTGGCTGCGCTGAGTTGCTCCGCCACACGGTGTGCTCTGCCCAGCCCTTGGCCGCATGGAGGTTGCTGGAGTAGCTGTGGTTCTCACAGGCACGGCCGTGTCTGTGCGTTGTGTCACCTCTTCATTTCCTCCTCCCGACTGCTCTGTTTTGCAGACATACAGCAAGGAGGACAGGCTGATCATCACCCAGCTGCCCTTCTCCAGCACACTGGTGGATTTCTGGGCTCTGGTCTGGGATTACACCTGCACCTCGGTGGTTGTGCTGAACCAGCTCCAGGAGCTGGACAAGGTCAGCTGCCTGCTCTTGTCCTGACAGCCTATTTTCTGCCTTTGCTGTATGAATCTCTTCACTGGGGCCCTGCTTGCTATGGGGTCCAGCTGCAAGCTTGTAGTTCCACTTTGTATTGCAGAGTCCTATGGCATTGCAGTGGTGGGGGGAACCCACAGGAACAAGGGTGGCCCTTGGATTTACTTCCCCGACCCAGCAGGGGGGCTGTTTTTCTGTTTGCTGTCCTGCAGGTCAGCCCCAAGCACAGAGCGGGCAGAGTACCCATATGCATGCTGTAGTTGAGGGGTTGGGCCAAGTGTACCCATGTGAGGCATTGAATTGCTGTGTGCCACCATGCATTTATCTCCCTTCAGACATATGTGGAGATCTGGCCCACCCAGGGCAAAGCCATCCATGGCCATTTTCACATCCAGTGGATCTCTGAGGAGGCTGGAGCTGGTTTCACAGTCCGGACACTTGCACTCACCAATAGGCAGCAGGTGGGTTTTTGGCATAGCAATGACAAAGTCCTTTGAGAACAGCCTTTGACAGAGCTGAGAGCCACTGCAGGCTTTGGTTTAGGGCCAAAGTCACAGCTGGAAGTGTCAGAGGGAAGGCCTGCAAAAGGAGCTGATTGGTTCCTTGAATGACACTGGTCAGAGCAGGGCCTTCCCCATGGGAGCTTTGTCCCAAGAGGGTGAATCTGTATACAGTGGTACAAGGCAAAGCACAGATACGTGTGCACACCTTTCCAACCTGGAGAACATCAGCCATGAATAGTCTGTGCATCTCAATGGTTGTTTATGGATGGGGATAGCTATTCTAAGTTCTGGACCATATCCATACTCTCTGGCCTTCCTCTCCATGAAGCCAGTGGGTTACTTGTCTGCCCAACCCAACTTCTTTCTTCCTTGCTAGCCCAAGAAATCTGCAATGAAAGTCCATTTCTGGCAGCTGGAGGACTGGCCCATGCAGCACCGTCTTCCCCCACATCCCACCACCATCATCAGCCTGCTAGGGAAGGTGGAGACACACCAGCGGCAGAGCCAGGATGGACACATCCTCATCACTTGCTGGTAAGCAATATGTCTTTCAGAGGAGCAGCTGTGGCACAGAGATGACTCACTCTGAGTTACATCAGTGAACTCAGGTACCAGCTCCAGTCTCAGCTCATGGTGGACATGTTGAACTTAGATTGGCCACTGCAGTGAAGGAGAATAAGAAATCCTTTTACAAATATATCAATGGCAAGAGAAAAACCAAGGATAATCTCTATCCCTTAATTGATGCGACGGGGAATGTGACCACAGATGACAAGGAGAATGCTGAGGTCCTCAACACCTTCTTTACATCTGCCTTTAATAGTCAGACCAGCTATCTTCAGGGCACTTTGTGCTCTGATCTGGATATCTGGGCTGACACGCAGAATGTCTCCCCAGAGTTTGAGGTGGAGGCCGTTAGGGAGCTCCTCCTCCATCTGGACAGTCACAAGTCCATGGGACCAGATGGGCTTCATCCTAGGGTGCTGAGGGAGTTGGCGGGGGTGATTGCTAAGCCGCTCTCGGCTATCTACCAGCGCTCCTGGTTGACTGGAGAGGTTCCAGAGGATTGGAGGCTTGCTGATGTGACTCCCATCTACAAGAAGGGCCGTAAGGAGGATCCAGGGAACTACAGGCCTGTTAGCCTGACATCAGTGCCAGTTGGTTGATGCTCGGCTGAACATGAGCTGACAGTGTGCCCAGGTGGCCAAGAGGGCCAACGGCATCCAGGCCTGCATTAGAAATGGTGTGGCCAGCAGGAGCAGGGAGGTGATCATCCCCCTCTACTCAGCTCTGGTGAGGCCGCACCTCAAGTGCTGTGTTCAGTTTTGGGCTCCTCACTACAGGAAAGATGTTGAGGCCCTGGAACGTGTCCAGAGAAGGGCAACAAAACTGGTGAGGGTCTGGAGCACAAACCTTATGAGGAGCGGCTGAGGGAGCTGGGATTGTTCAGTCTGGAGAAGAGGAGGCTCAGGTGAGACCTCATTGCACTGTACAACTTCCTGAAGGGAGGCTGTGGTGCAAAAGGGTCTGGCCTCTTCTCCCAGGCAAACAGTAGGACCCGAGGAAACGGCCAGAAGTTGTACCAGGGGAGGTTTAGGTTGGACATTATGAGAAACTTTTTCTCTCAAAGGGTGGTCAGGCACTGCAATGGCTGCCCAGGGAGGTGGTGGAGTCGCCGTCCCTGGCAGTGTTCAAGAGGCGCCTGGATGCGGAGCTACGAGAGATGGTTTAGTGCTTGTGATACTAATAGGAATGGGAGGGTGGTTGGACTAGATGATCTTGCAGGTCGTTTCCAACCTTATGATTCTGTGATTCTGTGATTCTATGTTCAGCTGTGTTCAGAGGAAAAGGCTTCCCTGTGGAGGCTGGCTTGGTGCAGGACCATCCCAATAGCCTCAGGTCTGTGTGGCTGGTGGGACACCTCCGGGGATCAGCACCACTAAATCACACTGCTCTCCACAGGGATGGTGCCAGCCGGAGTGGGATCTTCTGTGCTGCCAGCTTCCTGTGTGAGCAGATCCAAAGCGAGGGGCTGGTTGATGTATCTCAGGCTGTGAGGATGCTGAAGAGGCGGCGGAGGCAGCTGATTAAAGATGTGGTAGGTGTTGATTTCACACTCATCTGGGAACTGGAGCAATACTGGAGCACTGGTGAAGAACTGATGGGTGCCCAGGTGCCTGCCCTGCACCCACCTCACCACCAGCTCCAGGTCCTTGAGGCCATCATGCGACTCCTGTCTGGGAGTGAATATCAGATACTGTGCCATGGGCGCTGGCACTCCTCCCAAGCCCAGACGGCCACAGCATTGGGATAGCCTAACTCTCAGCCAGATGGGGATGTACCTACCCCTGGCTTTCTCTTGGAGATTGTGGCAACCATGCTGGCCTTCCTCAGAAGGTATTCTGGTAGCAGGTACTTATCTGAATCCTTCTGTCTACAGGAGCAGTATGGGCTGTGCTATAAACTAGCCCTCAGTTACTTGAATTCATTTGAAACCTATGGCAATTTCAAGTAAGAGACGTGGTCACAGCCCACCTCTGGCCAGGACTTCAACCTTCTTGTGGAAGCAATGGAAACCAGAGGAGATGTGCACAGCCCCAGGATCACAAAATCATTAAAGTTGGAAAGACCACTGAAATCACCTAGTCCAACCATGCTTTACTCTTCCCATAAGCCACCCTAAGGGCCATCTGCAGCTAGACAATAACAGGCTGGACTGTCTCCAAATTGTAGACAGAATTTCAAACATGAACATGGCTCTTTGCCCAGAGTTTTGGCAGGACTTTACTTGGCACCACAACATGAGTATGCTAAGCAGAGGATAGGCACCAGGCCTTGATGTGTACAGGCCAAGGATGCAAAGAACTAACTTTCCCATCCAGTCTCCCCTTCAGACATCCTCAGTGAAAGTGGGGTAGCTGCACTAATGCCCCAGTTGTGCTCCATCAGGAGCACCAAACCACCGTGAGATCTCCTGCAGGGCTGGAGCACAGGCCATCTGTCCTGCTTTGGGGGAAGCAGCAAGCTTGTGCCCAAGAAGAGCCAGGGAAGGGATAATCCACAGTCCCACAGGGATGACCTATTCCTTCCCACACCACTCAGTCCATTCCTGCTGCTGCATCTTCCCGATGCTGGTCCTCCAGGTGCCACAGCCCTGACAGTGCCAGAGAGGCTCCCTTACAAACCTGCCTGCCCCACCGTGGAAATCCAAATTGAATGTCCATACTTTGAACGTTGTCCAGGAGAGGCTGCTGCACCACACTGTAGAATGTCTGTCAGGACTCACCCCATAGCTCTATCTGTGTATCACCAATAAAGGCTCTGTGATGGCCTCAGTGGTGGTGGTGAGCTCTGATCTCCACTTTTCTTCCAGGTTTGATCTGACATGGGGGCTACAAAGAAACACGGGCCCTCAGCTCTACCCACAGTGTTTGCACAGAACACAGTTCCACCCAAGATGTGTGCTGGCATCATCTCAGCAAGACACAGTTCTGTCAACACCCCACAGGGAGCACAGCTCCCTATGGGCAATGAGGGGACGAGGCAGGAGCTGTAGCATGGCAGGCAGCCTCCTCCAAACTTCATTTATTGGTTTTCAGGACAGGGCAGACAGGTTGGCAAGGGCAATGCAGTCACATCAAGCTCAAGCAGAGCACTGGGTTTGAGTGGATTTCAGCACAGGGGGGAGATTGAGTGAGGAACCCAGGACATGGCAGAAGCACAAAGCATCCTTCAGCCCGAACCCCTCTGGGAATTTCTGTGTACAATGATCACAGTCAAGAAAACAAAGGCAAAGTCTAAAAAATGAAACTGCAGAAAATACCATTGAAAAATTACAGAACTTACAAGGGTAAATAAAAGCTGAGAATAAAAAGTTTATGACCCTCCTTCCTGCTTTCCACCTGCTCTGCTGAAATGGATAGGACACTTAGTCTGGTGATGGTCACAGGAGAGCCAGTGTTGATTCAGGTGCAACCACATCTTCTCTGTATCACTGCTGTTACTCTCACAAGAACTACAGGCGGGAGCTGGGAGAGCAGCTTTCCAGCCTGGCTGGGGCACAAGGGGACATGTCCAAGACGAGGATGAGCATATGATTCTCCCAAAGGTCAGGATCTCCTGGCTCCAATTTTTCTCTATCTTTTTAATTACTCTCCTTAGCTTTGATGGACACAGCCTTCCTTCTCCTGCAAAGGCAAAGGGCAGTCCTGAGCGAAGGGCTGCTTGTGAGAGAAGGTTGTTCTGCTGAACCACTTTCCCCATCCTACTCACCTGGACTGTACAAACCACATGATGCCTGTAAACAGGAGGACCAGCACCAAAAGCACAACCACTCCAATCACAATCCCTGGCCATGGGTATGGTGGCTGACCTGAAACTAACAAACAGCCAGGGGTGAGTGCCACAGCCTGTGCCACACGTCTGCACAGACACTGACCATAGAAGTAGATGTCTGCAAGTGTGCAGAGGTGACTGCAGGATCGGGAAATCTGTGGGATCAAGGATCATATATGAGATATGAGATGCTGGGTGCGATGCCCTTCAGCATGGGCATGCCTCCATGCCTTTCCCTCAGCACAAAGCTGGGCAAGGCATTAGTGTTTCTGGGGTTGCATGTGGACTGGGGCAGTATTAGGACCGAGATTGAGGAGAGATGATGGCATGGAAGCTGCAGGGGGTCCAGCTGCAGCCATGCACACCTGCCCAAAAGGCCAGGGGTACCAAAGCCTGTGCACCCACAGAGAGCCTCAGGATCCAGAGAGCATCCAAGAAGATGGAGGTAGGAACCGGTTATAGCAGGTAAATACTCCCAGTATCTGGGAAACAGAAGTTTCCTCTGCTCCCACAAGAGCTCCTGGACTGCCCAGCTCCTCTCCTTGCAAGGATATGGGCTGGGAAAAGGGGGGGTACAGAAAGACCCTCAGGCACAGGTGTGGGGCAGAGGAACCACTTACCCATGGAGAAGCTGTAGCACACGCAGGTGAATGTCTCCGCCTGTTGAAGGGCACAGGACGGAGGCTCAGAGCAATCCCACGTCAGCCACCACACAGCAAGGAGCTGCCACCCAGGGCCACCAAAGGCCCCAGCCGTGGCCGAGGACACGGCGGTCGCTGCCGCGCCCCGTGCACAAGAGCCCCCGGCACGGGTACCTGCGGTGAGCGCCGGGCGAGGCGCAGCAGGGCGGTGTAATCCCATCCTGGGTGCAGGGGAGCGTTGTGGAAGCCGTGCCCGCGGGCCCCGTCACCCAGCACGAAGTCCGTGGGCGCGCTGAGGTTGAGCACGGCGGCCACGTAGGGGTCAGCAGGGTGGCTGTGGTTGGAGGGCTGCAGCTCCCCCGAGCAGGCGTCTTCCAGCACCGTGCTGTTGTGTGTCACCGCCACGAGCAGCTGGTGCTCACTGCAAGGCAGGGCTGTGAGAGGGGGATGGGGATGAGGGGACACGGGGAAGGGGATGAGAGCGACATGGGGATGAGCTCGGGAGCAGGGATGGGGATAGGAATGAGGACAGCAGTGAGAACAGACGGGGAAGGGGCTGAGGATGGGGATGGGGAAGGGGATGGGAAGAAGAATAGGGATGGAGATTGGGGTGGAGGAAGGGATGGGGGTGTGGAATGGGGGTGGGGATGTAGAGATAGGAATGTGGATGGGTGGTGAGGAGGGGGATGGGAATGAGGTTGGAGATGGAGGTAGGGCAGTGAGATGGGGATGAGGGTGGAGAAAGTGAGGCTGTGGGGGCGGTAATAGAGACGGGAATGGAGAGAGGTGGACAGAGGCAGCTTAAGGGATGCAGCAGTGCTCAGGGCTGCAAGAGCAGAGCAGCCGGGGCTGCGCTCACCTCGCTGCCTCAGGGCGCTGGGAGATGGGGTGCAGGGGAAGCACGGCGGTGCCCTGAGATGGAGAGGTATCGAGCAGGAGGCGGGAGCAGCCATCGGGCGTCTCTGCAGAGGAAGATCCCCATGATGAGCCTCAGCAGACTGGCACGGAGGGGCAGGAGGAGGAGCTGCGTGCGGAGACCCTCACCTGAGCCGCTGGTGTGAAACTGCGATGCAGCTCCGGGACCCACGGCTGTGAGGCCCCGCACGGCCACCGCATATGTGGTGCCGGGGCCGTACGCGGGCAATGGGTGCTCCGTGGTCTGGCTGCTCAGCCTCAGCCGCTCGATCTGCAGGAAGCCGCCGTCCTGCAAGGCCCTGGCCGTGACGTTCAGCTGGGGACAGGACACGGAGCTGGAGGGCAGCGGCCACGATCCTGCAGGAGCCTGCCCACACCACAGCCAGACAGCAAGACGTTGCTCTGCTCCTCCTGCCCCTGTTCCTATCCCAGCTCTTGCAGGTGCCCAGAGAGCTCAGCGGGAGCCTCGGCCCTGTGTGTGTGTGAGCAAAGCGTCAGTGCTGAGCAGAGCAGGGCAGGAAAGACTCTGGAGCTAACCCTCTAGATAGCACCAGAGCAGCTGCAGAAAATGGAGTTGCTTGGACTGTGCCTTTGCTCTGCAAGCCCTCTGCAAGGCATCCTCATGATTTGTGAATCACGTCACAAATTGAGGTGGCTACAAGCTGGGTGCAGCGCTCTCCTCCCTCAGCCCTGCTTCTAGCACTGCAAACCACAGTCTTTGTCATGGCCAGAGAAAAGATAAGAATGCAAGAGGCACAGGAAAGCCTGTAAGGCCACCCCGCCAAATACATCACTGGGGACTGAGGACCACTGAGAGGAAGTCGGAAATGCTCAAATTCATGACAGCCAGAAATTCAGCACGTGGATGGGTGACTGCTGGTCCTCAGGGCTTTCCATGGTCTGCACACCTGCGTGCACAGAGCTGTCAGCAGGGAGGGAGGGGCTGGGTGGGGGCCCCTGGTACCTGGTACCCAACGATCTCCCCTTGGCAGGAGGGCAGCGCCTTCCACCTGAGGGTCCCCGTGCTGGCATCCAGCTGCAGCTGCTCCAGCTTCTGCGGCACTGGAAGCGCAGGAAAACGGAGTCACAAGTGGGGCTGGCAGAGAAGGTCTGAGCCCACAGCAGGATGCCTTCAGCTACTGCCCAGGGGCAGGCTGCGCAGCAAACCCAAGCATGCTTTGTGCCACAAAAGGAGCGTGGATTTCACAACAGCAGGAGCAGCGATGGTGTGGTGAGGAGGGAGGGGTAGGAAGGAAAGAGCTCTGCTCTAGGACTCTGCACAGCCTCTTCTGCATGCAGCCCCAATGCCAGCACCATCACAGCAGGGAGGGATGCTCAGAATGAAGTGCTGGGCAAAGGTCACCTCTCTCTGCCTCTCTGCTGGTGAACCAGCCCAGGAATGTCCCTTCCCTCCTGTACTATGCCATGGACACCTACCTGTTTCTTTTGTCCTGATCATCCATGAAAACAGGACTGTGCTGGGGGGCACCGAGATGGTGACAGTGTAGTCAGTGAAGGGCTGCAGGGGAGGACAGGTGAATGTTCCCCTCTGTCCGTGTAGGAGCTCCACTCCAGTGACCTCCTCAGCCGTACAAGGAGGTGAGGAAGGCCCTGCCAGCCGGCATGTGGCCTGCACGTGCTGGCAGGCATCAGGGAATCTGCAGGTCCAGTTCAGTTTGATGCTGGTGCTGGAAACCTCCAGGGTCGCAGGGACAACTTCTAGCACCTCTGCAAAGGAAGTATTGCAATAGGGTCAATTCCTTGCCTTCCACTCTACCCTTGCAAGTGTGCTTGAGTTACATAGCTCTACTGCCAGCCCAGCTGAAGGGATGGGAAGCCAGAGGATGAGTCAGTACATGTCAGATCTCTGGATGGAGAAGTAGGTGAAGTTTGGATGGAAGTGAATGCAGCTGTGTGTGTGCACTTTCACTGTCCAAGGCAGTTTTCCCTACTCGCTCATAACCCAAAGTTGTCAGAGTCAGCCAGCATCTCACCTTTCAATCAGTATCTGCTTTATGACCTGTCCTGCTCTTCACAGACCTCTGTAGAGAGTTTCTTTTTCCTCAGTTTTTCACAATGGTGAGGTAACGAGCTCTGGGTCACAATGCAAAAGTGCCTTTCTGCACCACAGCCCCAGGAAGGTCTTGTGGAGAATAATGCCACTATGCTGCTTTTTTCAGAACGCCCAGGAGATCTCAAGAGGAGCAGTAGCTCCAGAGACTCCAGGATCCTGCAGCTGCACCTCCTGACTCCCCATCACATAGCCTGAAGCCTTCCTTACCCACACACTCCACTCTGGACCGAATGCGGATCCAGGAACCACTGCTGGCTCTTCCCAGCCAAACTTCCCTGTAAATAGGCTTCCCATTAATGATGATCTGCACTTCTCTTGAACATCTGACTTGGGTGTAGGATGGCTGTAAACCCTCAGGGCAGCTCAACATCACTTCTTCATTTTTCTTATACTCCTGCAGATCTGGTTCCAGATGGAGTCCTGGGTCCCACCGGGGCCTTTTGCACGTTTCTGGCAGAGGTGGAAATGAGCTTAGTTGGGGCATGAAACAACAAGATGTCACAGAGAGCAATAGCACAGTGTCAGCACTCAAAAATGGTCCCTCCAGAGACTCAAGGGAGAGAGAAGGTGACAGATCTGTCTGCCATGCGTTTGCCAGGACAGTTATGCCTGCTCAGTCCTCCCCTGCCTGCTGGCTTGGACCTGATTCCAGCTAGCAATGCCCATTACCTTACTGAGCATGGCACTACCAGTCCTATAGGGGTGAGGAGTCTTTATACTGCTCAGAATAGGGAGCTCCTTGTCCCAAAGGGGCAGAGAAGTTGTCCCAGAAGTTCTGTACCATCTGCTCAACAGCCACAAAGAAGGGACATGTGACATGAACAACCACATTAATGCAAAGTTATGAGAACTGCTCACCTCCTGCTCCCAGGGACACTGCCCCGTACATGGAAGTGTGTTACATCCCAGCACTCACTGAGGCTTTCCCAGTACATGGAGCCTCACACTCTCCATCCCCAAATTCCCCCCAGAACATCCCTGGCATGGACATCACCTCCGCCCTCTGTGATGCCGTGCTGCACCTGGTAAAGATGCACAGCAAATGCAAGAGGAAGAGCAGAAATATGTTCACTTGTGAATAGAGTAGTGTCAAATTCTAACCTGTTCCTTGGGGTGCTCCTTGGACCAGGGAATCAGGTTCTTCCTGGCCCTGTGCTGCCAGCAGAGGAAAAAGGACCAGGAGAAAGTTCAGAGCCAGAAACTGCAGGGCCATGCCAGCATCCAGTCCTGGGCACAGAATCAGATCTCAGTCCCACTTGCTGCCTCTGAGCACTGGCATCTGTGGTTGCAAGAATTGCAACCACAGGAAGGAAACAGCCTTGCTTGTGATGAATAAGCCTTCCTCTTTTGAGAGGGAACCTCCCACTAGTAACACTGCTGCAGCCTTTTGCTGCTTTGTTTCCCTGGTGCATCCAGGCAATGGCACACAACAGAACAGCCCATCACCAGCACGAGATTTGCATCCCAAAATGCTCCTTTCTAACAGAGGGAGGGCACTTAAGAAATGCTGCTCTCATCTCTAAGACTTCAGCCACAGGTTTCCCAAAGCCACTGCCTGCAAGCATGGCTCCTGGAGAGACATTCAGGACTTCTGGTTCCTCAAGTGTGTGATAAAACTAGGGAGAGTCTGCAGAAAGGCCCCACAGAACAGTAGCTGGCTCCTTCAACAAGTAAACACCAATCAAGCAACTAGGTGGGAAATACCACTTAATCATGAGGTCATTTCTCAGACTTGACAACTCAGGTGTCCTCAGACTGAAGCCCAGAACTACTCACAGTACCTAAGAGGAGGCTGCACCAACTCTAAATGTAACGATAGTGTTGCTTCTTTGGACCTGCTGACTGTGCTGTGCTCAATGCACTCAGTAACGCAGCTTGTCCCCCTGGCTGCTTGGGCACACTGCTGCCTCGTGCTGAGCTGCTCCCCAGGAATTCTGCCGGTCTAAACATAAATGTTAACCTAACAGTAAAAGGAAACTGAAACCAATGTTTGGCCCCCTATTTGTAGATGAGATTAAGCTGCGGTGCAGTTGATGTAACAGAAGGAAGAAATGCCATCCAAAGAGACCCGGACAAGCTTGAAAAGTGTGCTCACATGGACCCACAGCAAGGTCAAGTGCAAGGTGCTACACTTTGGGCAGGGCAATCCCAGATATGTGTACAAACTGGGAGAAGAACTCACTGAGTTCTCACTGAGCCCTGTGGAAAAAGACCTCGCGGTTCAGGCAGGAGCCAGCAGTGTGCTCTTATGGCCCAAAATGCTGGCTACATCCTGGGATGCATCAAAAAGGAGGTGGCAGCAGGGAGAGAAGGAGATTGTCCCCCTCTGTTCTGACCTCCTGAGGTAGCACCTGCATCCAGGTATGGGGCCACTGTTACAAAAGAGACTTGGAGTTGTTGAAGCAAGTCCAGAGCAGAGTAACAAGGATGATCAGCGGGCTGGAGCGCTGCTATCGTGAGACAAGGCAGAGGGAGAAGGGCTTGTTCAGTCTAGGCTCAGGTGAGAGATCCTTTCAATGTATAAATGGAGCTTACAAACAAGATCAAGATCAAAATTTTTAGTTAGTTTTTTTCAAGATCAAAATGATTGTGATAGGACAAGGGGGAATACTTTTAAAAGAAAAGAGGGGAGATAGATGTTATGAAGAAATTCTTTATCATGAGAGTAGTGAGGCACTGGAATAGGCTGCCCATAGAAGTTGTGGATGTCTCATTCCTGGAGGTATTCAGGGCCATAGTGGATGGACTTCTAGGCAACATAACCTAGTAGGTGACAACCCAGAGGAACTAGATAGTTCTTGTGGGCCCTTACAACCCAAGCCATTGTATAAGCCTATGATTCTAAAATTCTATATTCAGTTCCCAGACCATGAGGGCCAGGACTAGACCCACAGGAAAAATGTGTTGTCCAACACCACCATGCAGGCAGGCAGGCAGCCTGGGAACCTCCCGCTGGGCAGACGCTGCTCACCCTCTTCCAGCCCACCAGCCCAGTGCATGGCTGATACTGGGACCTTCTAGCTGCTACCTGCATGATCTGTCCTACTTCCATGCTGCCTGGCTCCCTGCATGCATTCCTTTGCATGCATCAAGAGCAGGACATTTAGGGAAGGCTGTAAGGTGCAAGGAGGCCTTGCTGGCCTGCCAGATTGATCATGCCTGAGGGCAATCACAAAAAAGGGCATCTTTGTGCAGAGGCAGCAGCACAGGGAAGACCATTGGCTACTGAGACATGGGAGCAGTGGAGGAACAAAGAGCGCGCTTGGCCCTCCACCTTGCCCAGTTAGCTCAGCTCCCCAAAGGAGAGTGACTCTATAAGAGAAAAGAGGGGACCAGAAGCTGGACTCAGTGATCCTTATGGGTCCCTTCCAGATCAGGATATAATAAGTCTTTATTAGTTGTCTGGACAGAGCAGGCAGAGTGGCAAGGGAACAGAAAGAAGATGGGACCACAGGAGGTGGCTGGAGCACAAACCAATGCTCAGTTTTATCAATCTCACTCATTCTCACTCAATTATCAGCTGTCACACTGATGTTAGCAACCTCTTCCCCTCACTGCCCAATATGTATCAGGAGGAGCTCAACCACCAGCAAGACAGGGGAAGGTCATTTCTCAGACAGGCATTCTCAAAGGTCCCTCAAGGCTCGTGGCCCATTTCTGCACACTTACATAGTCAGACAATGCAATACAAATCAACTCATCAGCTGGTTTTAGTTCCCCTGCTTCCTGAACTGTATGTATTCACTGTACCCCCCTTTCCAAATGGGAAAATCTGAAGATGTTCAATCAACACTAATTTGACAGACTCCAGAGAAGGCTTCCAGACCGGGAGCAACCAGTAGAGCCACAACAGCTTTTGCAGTAAAATGGAGGCAGGATGTGGCAGTTGTGCAATTAGAGGCACTTCGAGAGAGGGGAGAAAGGGAATAGCTGCCATTTGATTTTTATTATTCGTTGATGTGCAGCTGAACGTGAGCCAGCAGTGAACCCAGGTGGCCAGGAAGGCCAATGGCATCCTGACTTGTGTAAGAAATAGTGTTGCCAGTAGGAGAAGGAAAGTAATTTTCCCTCTGAACTCAGCCCTGGTGAGGCCGCAACTCAAGTACTGCATCCAGTTTTGGGCCCCTCAGTACAAGAAAGACATCGAGGCCCTGGAGTGTGTCCAGAGAAGGGCAATGATGCTAGCGAGGGGTCTGCAGCACGGGGCTTATGAGGAGCGGCTGAGGGAACCTGGATTGTTCAGTGTGGAGGAGAGGAGGCTCAGGGGAGACCTCACTGCTCTCTGTAACTCCATAAAGGGAGGCTGTAGCGAGCAGAGGGTGCGCCTCTTCTCTCGTGTAACTGGTGGTAGGACTGGAGGGAATGGCCTCCAGCTGTACCAGGGGAGATGCAAGTTGGACATTAGGAAATACTGCTTTTCCGAAAGAGTGGTCAGGAACTGGAATGGGCTGCCAGAGAGGTGGTGAAGTCACCAACCCTGGAGATGCTCAAGGAACGTTTAGGCACCAGGTTGAGGAACATGGTTTAGTGGAAACTATTGATGGTAGATGAACAGTTGAACTGGATGATCTTGCAGGTCTTTTCCAACCTTGATGATTCTGTGATGCTATGAAACTGAGCACTGGTTTGTGCTCCAGCCACCTCCTGTGTTCCCATTCTCTTTCCACTTCCTTGCCCTTGCCACTCTGCCTGCTCTGTCCAGACAACTAATAAAGACTTATTATATCCTTACTATGTTATGTAGAAGGGACCCATAAAGATCACTGAGTCCAGCTTCTGGTCTCCTCTTTTCTCTTATGGAGTCACTCTCCTTTTGGGAGCTGAGCTAACTGGGCAAGGTGGAGGGCTAAACACGCTCTTTGCTCCTACACAGCCCACATGTCTCAGTAGCCAATGGTCTTCCCTGTGCTACAAAGGTGATGTGGATCTGTGCACCAAGCTTTGTCCTGTGAGGTTCTGTTAAGAAGCAGGCTTGGGCAGTGTGAGATGTGAATATGGAGCTGCCCACACTGAGAAAGAGGTGGAGAAATTCTCACCACAGCCTGACATACACGATGGGTCCTGGGGGTTTCGGGAGGAAGAGGAACGCTGCAGCTGCTGAGGAGCACAGCAGTAGCTGTGAGTTTCCTACAGCGCTCAGCTGGCACTAGAGGGCAGGGTAGTTTGTTCACATGAGGACAAATGATGTTCCTTGCTGAGCGGAGGAGGCAACTGGGAATAGGAATGAGGGGTAATGCAGCATATGCTGTGTGTTGATTGTGTCCATGTAAGGGCCACGGACTGTGAGACCTTGAGTGACTCCTTGCAGCTCTCCTCTCCTTCCTCCTGAGTCCTGCCAGCAGTCCTGACCAACTACACCCTGGGTTGCATGAAGAGAAGCATGACCAGCAGGACAAGAGAGGTGATGCTGCCCCTTTACTCTGCTCCTGTGAGACCACACTTGTGGCATTTGATGGCATTCTCATGAAGGAAGGAGGGACAGCACCCCTTCACTGTGCTGGGGGCACAGGGTTTCTCAAGGTACTTCCTCAGAACTGCCAGGGCTGCACAAGCCTCAACCCTTCATGAAGAGAAGGACAGACAGAACTTTCACACACAGTAGGGAAGAACCCCAACCACATGGCTGCAGTAAGGAGCAGGCAGCCCTCTGAAAACCAAAGCATTTTATTGGCTCTTCAGACATAGCAGCACAGCTGCGAGGGCGGCGCACTTGGGCAGAACTGCAGCAGAGTTCTGGAGCTTGATGGGTGCTGGTGCAGAAGGTAGAGAGGGGCTGGGAAGCCCTGTGTCAGGACTGGGCAGTGCCAGGTGCTGGAGGATAATTGGCCAGCATGAACGGCTCATCCCAGGCCTTGGGCTGCTCCTGCTCTGTGATACAGGATGCAGGAGCTTACTGAAAACATGAGTGGGAGCAATAATACAGGAAAGATACATGCAGTTCCACTTCCAGCTGTGCAGGACCAAGACTCAAGAAGCAGCAGCAGCAGGACGTGCCGTCACCACTGACCCAGGGATGTTCTCCCCATCTTCTCCACTCTCATATTGCTTGGTGAGTCTCCTAAGGACTCCAAGTTGGGCAGATGTAGGGATGTTGGCTCTCTGTCCTGACTACCTGTACCTGCAAACACCAACAGCACCTGGCTTGAGGCTGCTGCAAGCCCTGGGCAGCACAGGGAGCTCTGGCAGCTCTAGTACAGAATGGGGCACCAGGCAATACCTGCCCCTTGGTGTCTCAGGGAATACAAGCACAGCATCCCACCTCCTACCTGTCTCTTCTTGTGACAGAGATCTCCCCTTGATCACAGAGTAAATGTCTGAGTTTTCATAGGGCTGCAGCTCTGCAGGGACAAAAGAGCACAAGGGTGTGTGGAAGGAGCGGGGCAGATTCGGACAGCAGCTCGGGCATTGATCTGTTCTCCCCCACCCACCACTCCAGCCCCACAGCCATCTCTGTGCTGGACCCCTACCTACATAATGGTCCTCCTCAGCTTTGACGGGCACAGCCTTCCTTCTCCTAGGAAGACAAAGGGATGGTCTGAATTTGGGAACAGGCTGACATGGCCCAGAGCCCTGCTGAATCCAGTAGCAGTGGAAGAAGCACTTTGCACGCTCTGTGCCCAAGGCACTCCCCCACTGACAGGCATTGCCTGTCAGCACCTCATGGCACAGCAGCGCTGGCAGCAATGGCCACGGGGGATGGGGTCTCCCAGCGCACACACTCCCTGCCCCAACCCCGAGGATGATGTTCAGATGACCCCATTAGCAGCCCTACAGCTGAATCATGGTGGCACCAACCAGCCAGCAGCATCCCTATTGCTTGATAGCAGTGGGAGCAGAGCAGGAAGCCCACTCTGTCACTAGCCACCCCAGTACCACAGCGAGACTGAGAGGCAGAACAGCAGCTTCAAGTCCCAAGATTACTCGCCTGGACAGCACGAACCACACAATCACCGCAGAGAGAGTGACCATCACTGAGAGCACAACCACCACTGTCACCGCTGTCCATGGCCAGGAGCCCAGAAACTGCCCTGAAACTAAAACACAGCCAGCAGTGGGTGTCACAGCCTGGAGTTAGTGCCCAGGCCTTGGCATCAAGGTGTGCACACGTGCAGGTGTGTTTGTCCAGTATCCACAGCTCTGTGGGGACAGGCAGCAAGTCACAACGTGCGCTGCCTTCAGTTCTAATGGGCAGAGAAGAAACAGGGAGGCTTTGGATTATGAGGAAGGGTTCCATTTCCATAAACTGCACAGTGCAGTCTGGTTAATGAGAGGATTCACAGCTCCAGGGGCTGCACCCATGCTTCTGCTCAACAAGAGCCAGCAGCATGTGCTGGCCACCCAGAAAGCCCATTCTATCCTGGGTTGCATCAAGAGAAGCATGACCAGCAGGGAAAGGGAGGTAGTTCTGCCCTTTTACTCTGCTCCCATGAGACCACAGCTGGAACAGTGTCCATTTCTGTAGCCCCCAACACAAGAAGGACATGGAGTTGTTGGAGTAGGTCCAGTGGAAGGCCACAAAGAATGATCAGAGGGCTGGAGCACTTCCACTGTGGGACAGGCTGAGAGAACCGGGGCTGTACGGCCTGGAGAAGAGAAGGCTCCAGGGGGACCTCACAGCAGCCTTCCAGTACCTCAAGGAGCCTACAGGAAAACTGGGGATGGACTTTTTATCAGGGCATGTAGCGACAGGATGAGAGGAAATAGCTTTAAACTGGAAGAGAGTAGACTAGATATTTAGACTCAATATTAGGAAAAAAAAAATTACTGTAAGGGAGGTGAGACACCGGATATGTCCATCCAGTGAGCTTGTATGCCTTCCCCCAGAGGCATTGAACGCCAGGCTGGATGGGGCCATGAGCAACCTGGTCTGGAGAGAGGTGACCCTCCCTGCTGCAGGTGATTGGAACTAGATGATCTTAAAGGTCCCTTCCAACCCAAACTTTATTATGATTCTACAATTCCTTGCCATGTCATGGACAGGATGGGTGCACAGCAGCTCAGGACCTGCTCGCACCTCAGGCTTGCCCCGGAATGGCACAGAAGCCGTTACCTGAGATGTAGGCTTGGAACTCCAGGCTGGACGCATCTCCAGCACCAGCTGCCGTCAGGCCCTGGACCGTCACTGTGTATTTGCTGCCTGGGCTCTGGGGAGGCGGAGTGTACTGAGTGACAGAATGGTTCACTGTTACCTGCTGGAAGTTCAGGAAGGTGCCATCGTGTGCTCTCCTGGCAGTGAAGTTCAGCTAGAGGGAGGAGAGGTGCTGAGGGGAGCAGCACCCATCTCCTGCTCAAGCCCAGGGCAGCTCTGCATAGAGCAGATGCTGCTCTGCTGCCTGGGTACAGAAAGCTCTGCTCTGGTACCTGGTACCCAATGATCTCCCCTCGACAGGGGGGCAGCGCCTTCCACCTGAGAGTCCCTGTGCTGGCATCCAGCTGCAGCTGCTCTGGCTTCTGTGGCACTGGAAGCACAGGAAGATGGAGTCACAGGTGGGGTTTTTGGCATGAAGAACAAACTTTACATTACATATAGGAGGGCAGTTACCCATTGTTTTTGTCCTAAGGTGCTGTGTGAACAGTATTGTGCTGGGTGGCACTGAGATTGTGATGCTGTAAACAGTGAAGGGCTGCAAAGGAGGACAGGCGAATGTTCCCTTCTGACCATGTAGTATCTCCTGTTCCGTGACCTTCTCAGCCTTACAGGGAGCAGAGGAAGGCCCTGCCAGCTGGCATGTGGCCTGCATGTGCTGGCAGGCATCAGGGATGCTGCAGGTCCAGTTCAGTTTGATGCTGGTGCTGGAAACCACCAGGGTCCCAGGGACAACCTGGAAGACCTCTATGAAGGAAGCATGCAGGAGAGTCACTTTCTCCCTATCCCCTCCCTACCTGCACTAGATCTCTTTTTGTCCCACTTTTGTTGTCATTTCCCCAGGGCTGTGTGGCCAGTGCCATCCTGCCTTCTCCAACACAGTACTTGGGCAACGACTGCACATTTCTTGTGCCCTGGACCGCTCTAAGAGCACAGTGCTGCAGTGATTCAGGCCTGCGGATGGGAATGGCAAAAACGGATTGGCAAGTTTGTGATCGCTCTGCTCTCAACACTAGGGGGCTAGCAGCTGATCTGGTAACTGCTAGGAGGACAGACACAACCCTGGGCTGCATTAGCAGCTCTTTTCTCTGCAGCGCACACCCACGGCATTCCCTGACTACCCAGAACCCACTGCATTGAGGCTGCACACTGCATCTGGCACCATTTCCCTTGCTGGGGTAAGCAGACTGAGAATGGCAGCTTCACTCACCCACACAGATCATGTTCCTTTCTACAGGCTGCCAGCGTCCTCTGCCGTTCTTCTCATGCCAGATGCTCTGAGAAGCTGTGGAGCCTTGTCTAGGGTTTTGTTTCATGCAGGAAACCTCTGTGTGGGACAACCAGTACCCTACAGGGCATGTCAAAATCACTGTCTCGTTGAGATCGTAGGACTCCTTGTCTGGGACAAAGAGAATCCTGGGGTCCCACTGGGGCTTCTGACATTTCCCTGCAGCCAGATGGAAAAGCATTAGCAGAACAGAGGCTGTCTGTGCAGGACAGGGCAGGGGAGAGGAAGGATGTTCCCTGCTCTGGTACACAGTGGTGAACGATGGAGCTCCCAGGCATGACATGGATCAGCCTTCCTACACCACAGCCCTTCAGCAGCTCCTCCCACTTCCCCAACACACAGAGAGCCTCAAACCTCTCGTGCTAACGCAGCCTGCCTTCCCCTGGGCAGGAAGGACAGTACGGGGCTCCCAGGACAGCTTCTGTTGCCTCCCTTACCCACACATTTCACGCTGGACTGAATATGGGTCCAGGCATCGCTGCTGTCCCTTCCCAGCCATAATTCTCTGTTTAAAGGTTTCCCATGGTTGATGGACTGCTTTCCTCTTGAACATCTGATGTGGGTGTAGGATGGCTGTAAACCTTCAGGGCAGCGCAGCTTCACTTCTTCATTCTTTCTGTATTTCTCCTGGTCTGGTGCCAGATGGAGTCTTGTGTCCCACTGGGGCCTTTGACATGTTTCTGGCAAAGGTGAAAGGGGTTTCAGTTAGGGTGGGAGGTGGTGAGGTGGGGCAGCGAGCTGTCCATGGGCACGATAGCCCAGAAATTGGAGGAAGCAGGGACAAGTCCCTTCAGTGCTTCCAGTGACAGCCGTGTCCACCAGCAAGAGACAAGGGCAGAGCCGTGCTGCTGCTCAGGCTCCTGGCACTGTAACCCTGCTCAGCTGTTCCAGAGGGAGAGACAGTATCCATGTGTGCCTACGTAATGGGGCCAGCAGAAATGCAGGAGACCTCCATCATGCTCACCTTCCCTCACTCACAAAGGTCCTCACTCACCCACACATCTCATGTATCCCACTGCCAATGGCCATAAGCCTGTGCTGTTCTTCATAAACCAGATGCTCTGAGGAGCTGGGAAGCCTTGGTGTGGTCTTGGCTTCACACAAGTGATCTCCATGGCAGAAGGCCAGTACCCATTAGGGCATGTCAGCATCAAACTTGTATTGACATCGTAGAATTCCTGGTCTGGGACAAAGTGAATCCTGGGACCCAACTTTGGCTTCATGCATTTCTCTGCACCAAAAACATGGGAAGATATTAACAGAAGAGAGGCTCCTCAAGCAGGGGACAGGGACAGTGTTCCCTGCCCTGGTACACAGTGGTGAAGGATGGAGTTTCTGGTCATGATGTGGATCAGCCTTCCTACACCACAGCCCTTCAGCAGCACCTCCCACTTCCCCAGCACATCCAGAATCTGGATCCTCATGCTCATGCAGCCTGCCTTCCCCTGCGCAGGAAGGGCAGCACAGAGCTGGTGTAAACTGGAGTCTTTATCCCACTGGGATTTGGGGCACTCTCCTTTTGGGGACAAAGTGTGACAGTCCTACTCCAGGCAAGGGGCTTGTCTGGTAACGGAGGACAAGGTGGAGAGCTTTGTCCACCTCTTCTCTGAACCCATGAAAGCACTGTGCTGTGACACTGGCAGAGTGGAGGCAGATGTTAGCACACTAGGAACTGACTTATGACATGTCTGCAGCTCCAAGGACATCACCCCGGCAGGGCCACAGGGTGTTTGGAGACCATTTGTTTGATCAGAGATGCCCTAGAAAACAGGCAAGAGACAAGGGTCTGGTTGGAGCCTGTGAATCAGGAGCAGGAGACAAGTCAAAAAGGGTGACACTGTGGTGATCACTGTCCCCTCCCAGACATTTCCAGGTTGTCTGAGTCCCAGAAGATGAGCAGAACTGGTGTGCTGCACAGGAAAGTTGAGGTCGAGATAACTGGGCTTATTTAGCTTGCAGGAGAGGAAACTTAGAGCAGGATAAGCAGCAAACAAGAGGAAGCAGCACCCTTATACAGATTCCCATTCACCTCTGCAGACTTGCAGACATTCTCTATCGAGTCTCACTTTCATAGAATCAAAGGTTATCCTAAGTCTGAAGGGACCAATAGCATCATCCAGTTCCAGTCAGTGACAGTGTTGTCCAAACACTCCTTGAGCCTCAGCAGCTTAGGGCCTTGTCCACTGCCCTGGGGAGCCTGCTTCATGCCCACAGTCCTCTGGTGCAGCACCTCTTCCCAACCTCCCTTCTCTTGTAGTGGGTTTCATACCATCATTGCACTCTTGTGTCCTGCAAAGCACTGCAAAGGACAGTGGTCACCACCCTCTTCTTTGGAGCCACATATGCTGCCCAGATAGGAAGCTTTGTCTCTCTGCCCATCGCTAAAGTCGGCACTTCCTTCCGAACACCAGAGATGGGCAACATGACTCACAACCCACAGGACAACTTGGCAAGCCACTTCTGCTCCCATTTCTCTGCAGAGATAATGGCTCACACGTCAGGGTCCCCAAGCCCTGCTGCAACAAGCAGCTACTCGAGGGCATCACAAAAGTCAGAGCACACCATCTCCACACAAGGAGCCAAACAGAGACCTCGGAGCTGTCCCCACCCTTCCTGCTGTGCCAAGGCATTCCCAGCACGCTGAGGCTTGCTGTCCTCCATCTCCTAAAGCAGATTCAATCTGACACAACCCAGTGATGCCTGAGTGCCTTGGGACTGGTGGACACCATCTTCAGCCCTCTCCAACATGTTGCCATCAGTCAAAAGAGGGAAAGATGCAGAGCCAGCTTGCAGGGAGAGGAGCAGCAAAAGCTTCTTTTGAAGAGAGAGGAGAAACCAGTGCTTACCTTCTTCCCTTTCTCCTTCCTCAATTTTCCCTGAAACTGCTCCTGCTCCTGAAGACTCTCTCTGTTTCCCCAGCTGAGGGAGGAGGAACAGCAAGAAGGCCAGCACCTGCCCTCGGATGGCCATGCTGTTGCCACAGCATATGCCCCACTCAGCACTGCTGGGGAAAGGTGTCTGCACTGGAGGGAGAGGTGCAAACACAGAAATGAAACAACAACCAGGGAAAATAACACGTGGAGTGAGGAGCTTCCTCTTTGGGCAGTCAGCACCCACAGAGCTGCTCCATGCCACGCACACTGAGACACCTCCAAAGACTCCTTAGAGCCACTCCACTGTCTCAGGGAGAGCATGAGGGGGAAAACACTGCCTGGGGTGGGGATGGAGGAAAAAAGGGAGAAACTGCAGGCAGGAGGTGCTGCAGCATCCAGACAGGTTCTTGGCTGCAGCTGGTGGGGGGGAGAAGGAAGGAGCTGCAGAGGCCAGCAGGATGGACCCACACCTGTCACCTAATCCACCTCTCTATCCGCAACCTCATCCCCTGTCTTCATCCTCAATCCCATTCCCACTCCCCTGCACTCCTTGTGGGGATGTGAAGGGGTTGAGAAGCAGAAGGGAAGTTGACACTGGGAAAAGAAGGGGTGGGGAAAAGCAATTTAAACTTTTCCTTGATAACATTTTTTTCTCACTCTCCATATCTATTTGTGCAGACAATAGGTTAATTTTCCCAGAATTTTCCCATTTTTGCCTGGAGCACTGTTCAGTCAGTGTCTTTATAGAATCATAGAAACATTCAGGTTAGATAAGACCTGTAAGATCATGAAGTCCAACAGCCTCCTAACACTACCAAATCCTCCACCATGCCATGTCCCTAAGTACCACATCCACCCACCTCTTAAATACCCCCAGAGATGGCAACTTCCCTGGGCAGCATTTTCTATAACCTAACCACGAAAAAGCTCTTCCTGACCCCTAACATAAACCTCCATCTCCTCCTCCTGAGATGCATGAGAGAGTACCTGGGAAGCGTCTGGCTGCAGTCTGAGGTCAGCCCACCACTCTCATCTTAAACCAGGCCTTCACTACTGTTTGTTAGAGCTAACAAGATACTAAGGGTGAAAATATGTTCACTTTTCCCCACTGTCTAAGTCAGTAGGATGAACTGTGTACCACTTTTCACTGCCTTCACTAAGTCCTGCTGCCACAACCCTGTTGTTGAGCCTCAACTGTGGACCTTCCAGATCTGCTGAGCTCTTGAACCCACCATATGCAGCCTTCTGCATCAAACATTCCCTGCTACCCTGCCCTGTCCACATTTCCTCCATGGTGTATAGGATGTGAGGCACCTCAAAATGGAGTGCATATAATAGTGGGGTAAGAGAATCTTTCTGAAGCTGGGTGGAGAAGATTGTTCTTGGCTACTTCAAGCAGAGCCTTTGTGTATGTTAGAAAATTTATCTTTTTTTGCTTGTTTGTTTGGTTTTTTGTTTGTTTTAATTTGTTTTCTCGATGTATAACAGGCAATAGAAAAAAATGCTGAAATGCTGCACCAAAGACCACAGCACTCAATCACATGCCTGGCTCCTACACAGCATAGCACTGCAGCTGCTGGTTCAACAGATGATGCCTTATTTCACCAGGATCCCCAGCGCAGAATCCAAATCAGGAAGGTTTCCAAGAGACAGTCAAGTCAGCAGATCACGAATCCTTGCTCAGTATGGCACGACTTAACGGAGTTTCGTCTCCATCAGAACACCCACTGGGGCTCCACAAGCATGTGACATCTGGGCTGTTTGTGCTCTACATACAGTGTTTTAGTCCTTAGAGCAGGACTGCCTCATAAAGACATCTCAACACATTGTAGATGCTTTCTAATATTGATTTCCTGTGTAGCATTCAGGAAAGCTACCCAGCCATACAATCTCCTCTCAAGAGGATTGAGGCCTCAAGGCTGCAGGTTTGGCCATCATAAGTATTATTGATGAGCTGCTTCCTGACGGTTCCATCAGCAATCAATCATCAGTGAATTCAGATCACAGTCAGATCTTTGGGCTGCAAAGAGGGAAACCCAAACCACCTGCAATTTACAAGCAGTCTTACTTCTGACAGGGAAGAACACCGAGGGCATGATGTGATACCGTGTGACCTGGACTCCTGGCTTGGAGTCCAGATGTTCTGCTGATGGTCAGAGACTGAAAGTGCCAGCAGAATCCAAAGAGGTCTCCATTATCCAACCCACCAACCACCCTGCAGCGTCACCAGCAGAACAAAAGCACTATGTTAGCCTGTGCTGCAGTGGAGCTAACAACAGGGGCAGACATTACTTCTTTCAATTGTACGGAACTGTGTGCATAGGAGCTCACCAAGCTGATGACAGACCCCAGATATCCCAGCCTGCTGCAGGGCGATGGCAGAAGGAAGATGCCCCAATAGCACAGGAGCACAGCAGGATCCCTGGAGCACAGACTGCATTAGGGTGTTTTGCAGCCTGGGCAGGGACTCCCTCTTGTGGCATTGGCCACCCAAGTCTGTCACCACTGCCCTCGAATGCTGCCCCACTCCCTTTGCTGCAGACTGCCGTCCACTCCCACATAGCCATGCACTTGCTGAATACACAGAAAGGTATTTTCAGCACACCAAAATGGACATAAGCAGCATGCAGCTGGGAGCAGGGTGGAGTGAGGCCAAAGGGACGTAGGCTGCTGCATTTTGGTTTGGAGAAGACATGTTCACAAGTGGGATTTGCAGCTCAGACCTCCAGGCAGCTTCACATCTGGTCCAGCCCTTCCTGCCGCCTTCCCCAGGGCTGCCTCAGCACGTACCACCCTGCTTCTTGGACAGGAAACCTGGCTAAGCCCAGGAAGTGGGAACTGTGGGATTTCAAGCGATGTTTCAGCTTCCTCCCAAAGCCTGCTTTCTGACGGCACCATTTTCAGGGCACCTCTGCTCCAAGACGAGTACTTCTCACTTCTTTCTGTCCCTCATTTTTGCACCTATCTGCCCTCTGGCAGTGGTAGCATATTGTGCCTGGAGTCTTGCTGCTGTATCAGAGCAGCTCTCTACCTCCTACACATACCCTTCACACCTCCTTCTTTGCACAAGACTCTACAATGTTCCTCCTGTAACGCTCCACCCAGACCCACATGCTGGCCCCACGCATCACAGCTCTCCTCCACATGCAGCTGACGGTATGTGTGAGTATGGTGGAGTGGTGAATCTCTCCTTCCATATGCAGCAGGTCTGAAATAAAGGGGTTGGCATTTCCCTCTTTCAGCTCTCAGCCTGCACAGAGTCCAGAGGAAAACAAATCCTGAGAAACTGCTTATGCCACCCAGGGTAGCTGGGAACAGAGAAGTGCCCAAAATATCCTGAGCCCGGAAGGAAACAGATGAATAGGGAAGAAAAAGCCAAGCAGCTGTTTTTCCAGTGAGCTGGAGCCAGTGGCCTGGCAGAAGGGGAAGGTGGCACAGCTCACAGTGTGAGCAGGGCTTCTTCAGGATGCACAGTGCTTTGTCTTGCATGGCCCTGCTCCAGCTATGTTTTGGAGGGAATGGTGTAGGAATGGAATGTTGTTTCTACACTAAATATTGAAAAGAGGGTATTGATCTGAAGAAGTAGAATACCATTTATTTGTATTTTGTAACTTGTCTTTAGAAATAGCTGATGTGAAAAAGTAAAAGTACCATACATTTTAATACCATATTTTAGAAATACAGTTGCTGAATTACGTGATTAATTCTTGCTTGCAAAACTGCAATAGTTTCTAAATGTTCCAAATAGTATCGGTATAGTCCCTCATTTCATGAACTAGAAAACATGTTGTAAGGCTGTTCTGTCTGGATAAGAAGCCAGGGCCTCTACACAACACCAGATTGTCTCACTCTCTGGGTTGTTTGGGATGCAACTGGAAGGCATCAAGATACTCCTCTCTATCCTCCTTCCAAGCTTATCTCTATGCAAGGACAAACAGATGTCCAGAAATGACGGCCAAGTGTTGAGTGGGCAAATGTTACAAGTTAAATAATTAGCGATATATGCTTAGCTAGCAAAAAAATTTATGTTTATCCAGTATCCATATGTTTAGTTGAGCATTGGGAAGACTGTGAATCAGAAGCACTCAGCCAATGAAGAACCAGGGGAGAAAGAGATAAACATCAAGTAATGGGGCATAAAAAGATGTAACACTGTTTTCTGTGTGCTCTTCTGCTTGTGGGACTCTCGCCACTGCAATTGCGAATAAAATCTGCTTTATCAAAGATACCAACCTGATAAATTATTTGGATATTTCCAACAGTGGTGACCTCACCTTGCTGCCAGCAGGACCCTGAGCTGTCCAGGATTCTATACAGGGGCTGCATCCTCAGCTTTCCCCTTCTTCCATGTCAACAACTGGGGCTGATGGCTTCCCACAGCTTTCAGGATGTATCAGACCTTTGGCCATAGTGCTGTGACTTTCTTTCCCACAGAGGCTGAGAGGGTGGGAAAGGAGAGAGGACACTGTGTCCTGGCAGGTTGGTGATAGCAGTGGGTATGGCACGGTGCCCAGGAAGCAGCTGCACTTTGTTGTATAAATACGTGCACGAAGCCACATATGCTTCCAGCTTGCAATCAATCCAGCGGGAAGAACCTGAGAAGATCTCAGACATTTGCAAGGGGAAGGAACGGGGGTGCTGCCTTGCCTCTGGCCATGAGGGTGATCATGTCTCTGGAAGGAATTAGGAGGTATCAGTCACCCCATGGGGAGCTCGAAGAGGTTCTACCAGCAGAGGTCTTTCATGAAGGCTCAGGGTACCCCCACAGGTGCTCCAGAATGTCCCACAGACCAGGACATGCTGTGAACCATCAGGTGTGACCTGCACCCCAGATGCTGTATGGTGGTGACACGCTTGGCTCACCACCACGTCCTCCTGGCTGTTACTCCAGGAGACAAGTTCATCCAGGGGTGGAGCAATCAGGACCAAGGCTCAGTAGGAAACAGTGACTATCCAGCTGTGGCACAGGTGGATGGAAAGTAGGCCACTGTCATCTAGTTTATTACTGTGTTGTGGTGGAAGGGATGTGCTGCCTAGAAATGGGGCTTGAGTGTGCAGGTGCAGCAGGATTCAAGCCCAGCTCTGCGCTGGAGCCACCAGTTCCAGGCGGCGCTGCTCCCATTGCCCTTCTCTTAGTGCTGTGTTTTGCTGCTGCTGCTGGCCTGGGCACTGTCCTCGTACACAGGGACTTCCCCCAGTTTCCATGTAGTCTGAATCAGCCCATGGCAAATGGTGGGTTAATGCTCCCTTCCTGCCCCTGCAGCAGTCAATTCCAGGCGTACTGGACACCCCTCCAAGGACAAGCAAACTGTGTCCTGCACTCTGCTGCCAGAAGGATTGATAAAAACATAATAGCAGTTCAGTTGCAGCATACCACTTGGCTGCTTTGGACTCCACTTGATATTGGAGTTCTCTCATGTCTGGCACAGCAGCACTTCGCAGTGCTGTGACTTCATTCAGGCCATAACCGTCCACTCTTAGCTTTCACTCTCCTTTGGACTTTCTCACCAACTGCATGGGACTATGAAGGGTGCAAGTCTTGCTGGTTACTCTTTGGTTCTCCAGTTGGCAAATCAGTGAATGAATAGGAATTAGGGAGTCCTGGTTGGTGTGATATTGCCACCAGGGTATCGCTGGAGCAGCGAATGGCACCAGCTGTTCTTCTACTCTTAGCAGCTCCACAACAGAAGGGTCCTCTGACCAGGCAAGGTAAACAGCTGTCCTCCATCTCCAAAGCAGCCATACCAAAAGCCCCCCAGTAACCTTTGGGGTCCATGAAGTACACTCTGCTGAGGTGGTCTATAGCAGAGATGCACGGACCCTCATGGCCAGTCGCAAAAGGATGCTTTCACCACTCCTTCCCAGTTAGGCTCACTTTGGCTTCCGGCACTTGGGATCCCCCTGTCCCTCCAGAAATACAGATGGGTTCTGCCCCTTAGTAATCTGATAATATTAGAGAACATTGCACACTAGTGTCCACCACAGCCTTATCCTGCTGTGGTTGCGATGTGCCAGGCCATTGAATCCACACAGTCTGATGAACCCGATCATCCCTTCCCTCCACCTGCCTGGAGGCAGGGCCCCTCTACGTCTATTATTTCTTTGTCACTCAATTCCTGTGAATGCAAAATGAAAGGCTGGTTCTTTAACTCAGAAATAAGATCAGACCATCTTCTCTGTCTGGGAGACTGTGCTGAAAGCTGAAGCAACCATGTTTCTGGAAGAACCTCCTTTCTCGACTGTTTTCCCTTGCAACTCATGTACCTGTGACTGTAGGGTTGTGGTGGGTTTTCATCTCACTTCCTCATATCCTCTCCATCACCACCAAAGTAAAACCACAGGGTGGCACACAGTGTGTACCAACCATATCCTCTCTCTTGAGCTAAAAAATGCTTATTTCTGGTAGCTGAGAGGCTGGTCTGTGCAGGTGAGGAGGAAGTTATATTCCCTTTGAGTTGCTGGACCTCTCAGTACTGTTCTTAAACATCTGAAATGCACTCTGAAAGAGTGGTGATGTACAGGCTGTCTAGGGAGGTGGGGGAGTCACTGCTCCTGGCAGTGTCCAGGAACTGTGGAGATGTGGCACTGAGGGACGTGGGTTAGTGGGCATGGTGGGGTTGGGTTGAGGGTGGACTAGATGACTTTAATGTTCTTTTCCAACCTTAGCAATTCTAGGAGTCTGTGATTGAGTACAAGCACCAAATTAAATGACTGATACAACAAGAGCACACACAGTATACAAACTGTCCAAACTGTAAAAAAAGCCCAGACCAGCCCTCAGAGATTATAAACAATGTGGATAGAATTAAGAAAAACAACCTTGAAAGCAAATAAAACCACATTATGAACAAGATCAGCATTGTGACCAGCAGCTCTTGAGCAATTATATTTTAATGCATTCTGGTCAGATCTGTCATCATCTCAGCCTTCTGGGTCTCACAGTGGGTGCCACAGGGACTGTTGTGGTTTAACCCAGCAGCAGTAAGCACCACACACCCTTCAGCAAGTGGTGAGATAATGCATTGTGTATCACTTCTTTTATAAATATAGATATTTACATGAACCTAGATATCATTACTGTGGTTTGTCTCTTCCTTTTCTCTTAGTAAATAGTTTTTATTTTGTGTCTTTTCTGGACAAGATCTCAGAGCTCACAGAGCAATGGTTCTCCGGCCTGATGCACTGCTTGTTTCCATGTTTCCACCAGATCTGAGATAGGCAAGAAAGACAAGACAAGGCTAAGGATGTTGATTTGTTCTTGTAGTGGACTGTGCAGGTGGGTTTGTGAAGGGGCTGCGGCAGACACTGAGCTGAGCTATGCATGGCTTCACTGTCCTGCAGCCATGCAGACCAAAGGGTAGAGACAAACCACAGGTGGAGGCTCTTCCCCAAAGCCACCAAGCTTTCCAGCCCTGCTGCCCTGCAGCTGGCCCCTGGGCCCTGTGACAGCTCTGATGTGGTTCTGCTCCCACTGCCTCTTGGCATCCCCACTCCTGGCTCACATCTGCAGAACCACAAGCACTTTGGGGATTCTGTGCTGTGACAGGGAATATTGCTAACAGCCCGGTGAAGGGCAGGAGATGGAGCAAAGCTACCACAGCCTCTTGGGATGAGCTACCAGTAGCCCAAAGCTAGAAGGAGCTCTGTCACCTATAAGAAACCTAGAGAGGGAGCATGGCAGGTACTGTGAGATGGGCAGTTCAGGAGCAGAGAGAGGGATGCTGGAGATGGTGGTGCATCCCCTACCTGAACGGCACAAGGCAACTAGCTCCTGCTGACTGCTCCTGCTGGATCACTGTGAGGACGTAGCTGGGCTCGTGTCTCTACATGCCACCTTGTTGTGTGTCACAAGTGGTGTGGGCATGACCATAGCTGCCACCTACTCAGCCCCGTGGCATAGCGTTGCGCTTCCTAGCAGGGGCAAGATAGGCTACACACTGAAATCAGTGCCCACCACGAACGGACGGAGCTGGGATGCGGGTGCCGCCTCCACAAATGCCACAGTACCAATATGCAGAATCAACAGGAGGTGACAGGAGGGGGAGAGCGAACACTGCCAGGTGCCGTGCTGACACTGCTCCTAGAAAATTAACAGCACAACAAATATTTGCACGCAGCCCCGCTGATTCGGCCCTGCAGCTGGCGTGCCACAAGACACAGCAGCGCCTCGCCTCCAAACAGCTGGGCGCAGGCTGCTGCAGCTCGCACAGTCTGCTGGGTGCGGGGCGTGCAGGGCCCTGCGCACACCGAGGGACATGCAGCACGCTGGGAAATGTAGTCCTGCTGCGTCACCTGTGCTCGTGCAGCTGGGCACGACCCGGCTGCGCACAGACGGCTGGAGCTGGCGCTTTCTCCCGTGTCCTCTGGGCTCTGTGCAGTGAGCAGGTCCCAAGCGGGTTGTCCCTGTTCTTCCTTATCAGAGCTCGAGGGCCTCGATTTGGGGTTTGCTCAGCCCAGCGAGCCAGCTGGGCTTGCTGGCACCGCGGGAGGGCTGAAGGCACCGGGGACCTTCATGGCTGTGCTGGGCGGGAGCAGAGTGGTGTGGAAGTAGAACGGCACAGCTACCAGTGCTGGTGAGAGAAGGGACCGAAAATCCTGCAGCAGCAATTTCCACAGTCAGGGCTGTCTCCAGGGCTTTCATTTATCCGTTACAGCTTAATTGAATGTATACTCAGCCACTTGTAAGCAGCAGGAGCCTGAAACAGGCTGTGGTTCTGAGCTTCTCTCTGTAAAATGCCTTACTACAAATCTCCACCTCTGCCTTGATCCTGGTGGGGCTGCTGCTCGTGTGCACTCAATGGAAGGGCTGACACAAGGTTTGCTTGGATCCCAGCTGTACTTTTAGCTGTAGTTTTATCTCTCAGCACCACAGGGGAGCTGGAAGCAGCAGGGTAGGAGCATGAAGATATCAGGATGCAATGCCCAGGATGCCCAGGAATATGTCCTGCTGCCTCTGGGTGCACAGCACCTGTAACCCCATCAAGCGGAGGCACCGGGCTGGAGTGGTGCTGCCATGGAAAGGGATGGCTGAAACCCTGAGACAGGTGCTGGCCAAAAGCACCATGCCTACAGACAACCTGCGCTGCTACTTTTCTCATTGGGAATAGCAGTTAGTGTGGTGCATGAGGATGCAAGACGAGGAGCACTCACTGCAGGGAGCCCCAGGAGTAAGGATGGATGGACCAGCAAGGAGCAGGATGGAGGAGGAAAGTGAGGGGACGCGGAAAGAGAGAAAAGAGAAGCGGGCTCGCTGTCACCAAGAGGCTGCACTTCCCACAGTTCCAGAGACACCATCTGGGCAGGGAGTGGCAGATACACAGCGCGCATCCGAGCTGGGACAGCCGTGTGCAGATCCGGGAGCCTCGGCGGGGCCCATCCGCACCGCGCTGTTCGTAGGGGGCCCAGCACCCGCGACCCCACGTGGCGAGGGGCCGGACAGACGGCGACATCGGACCCCACACGTCGAAACTCCGCACCGCGGGAGGGGTCTCTGTGCCCGGCGGCGCCGGCGGCTGCCAAGGAGTTAAGGGCTGTCCCCGCCTCGGCTCCGCCCCTCCGGTGCCAGCGCTCGGGGCGGCGGAGGCGCAGCTCCGGGCCGGGCGGGGGTCGGGGCTGCGGACTCCGCTGGGCCATGAGCACTGCGCTCCCCCCCGCACCGCCGCTGCTCGTCGCGGAACCGAGCCGGGTCGGGCGGGGCGGAGCGGCCCGGCCGTGACCCCGCGGGGATGTGAATGGCGCGGGGGTTGCTCGGCGGGGCCGACATGGAGCGGGAGAAGCTGCCGCGGAGGCCTGGCTCGGCGCTGCGAGGGGAGCGGCCCGAAGAGAGCGAGACGGGAGAGGCGGCGGGGCCGTGGCCGGGCTGCGGGAGGATGCGGCCCTCCTCGTACCGCGCGCTGCGCAGCGCCGTCTCCACCCTGGCGCGCATCGACGATTTCTACTGCGAGAAGATCGGCACCGGCTTCTTCTCCGAGGTGTTCAAGGTGTGCGCGGCCGCCGAGCATCCCTTCGGGGGGGAGGGGAGGGCGGGACTGGGTGTCCGGGTACCAGCGGGGCGGGGTGGTGGGAAGCCTGGGACCCCCGAGAGCGAGGAGGTGCCCGGCGGTGGCTGCGGGAGAGCCCCGCGGCCGCGCTGCTGTTGTTCCCCGGGGGAGGGGAGCGGTGTTTACAGCCAGGCCGGGCGCGGAGCTCCGGAGCGCTGCCACCGGCGGGCGGCGTGGTGGCCGAGGAGGGTTGGGTCGGAAAGCCACGGTGGGGGATCCCGGAGCCGGTTCGGAGGCGGGAGGTGCGGCCGCCTTCTCGTGCACCCTGAGCGGGGCGGGTGGGTGTGTGGGGTCCGTCTGAAGGGGACGGTGCTGCGGGGCTGCCTTTGTGCCACAGGTCCCCATGGATTGGGATGGGCGCAGGTTGCTGGAGTGGGGACGGTCACGCGTGGCCGTGCCCAGGTGTGCTGGTGGGGGGTCTTGGCGGTGGTGATGGCACTCACTCCCAGCCCGTCGAAGGGCTGCGTGCTGTGTTCACTCCAGGGAGAGGTGTGTACACATGTTTTTGTGCTCAGCGTGCTCAGTATCACCTTACGCTTGTTATGGCTTCAGCCCTTTCTGATAACAGCTTTGCTAGATCAGAATCCCCCCACCTCTTCTGCAGCCCCCCTGAGCACTGCTCTGCAATGTGGCCGTGGAGGCCGTGCAGAGAGGACGCTCCCAAGGCCATCCCTCCCACTTGTCTGGGGCCGTGGCCTCACAGCTGGCCAGGTTCCTCCTATTGATCCTTGGCTGTGAGCACGCAGCAGCACCTGGGAGCAGAAGGAGGCATTTAATAAAGCCAGGATATTTAATAATGGATGATGCCGGATCTCTGCCAGACCGTGGTTTCTCCATGCTCATCGTCTCTGCTCCCACACTATACTCACAGTGTCCACAAAGAATTTGGGGGAGCAGAGGATGCAGGGGTGGGAGCTGGATAGAACCACAGCAGCCAGAACAGGAGGTTTCGGGTTGGGCTTTGTGCAGGTACAGAGGGTTGAGGCCAGGCATTGAGCACAGCGGGGCTTGGCAGGGTGATGGTGCCCTGATCTTGCAAGGAGGATGAAGCACAGGGTCACTTTCCACCCACCTCCCTCCACCCCACAGTGTTTTTCACAGCTGTGGGCATTTGCAGCCGCCTGCTTGGCCCTGCTTCATTCCATCCCTGGTGGGCGTGGGAATGAGGAGGGGCCCACACCTCAGTGTCCTTAACCAGGTGGCTTGGTCCCAGGGTGCTGGTGCAGCACAGCCATCTGATGGCGTTTCCCTGCCCACCTCTGGCCGAGCCATTGCGGCTGTCCCAGGGTGTTCCCAGCGGTGCCCCCATGGAGCTGGCCCTTGCTGCTCCCGGCAGCAGCTGGTTCTCAATGTGATTCCAGAGGCCCACCTGCTTCCTCGGGCACACAGGCATTGCAGCGAGCCGCCTCTCCATCTCACTGATAGACAGAGCAGATTGAGCTGGCTGTGTTCATGCCAGACATTTTCTCCAGCCCATAACCCGCTGTTGCATCTCTTCTCGCATCCCTCCGTGCAGCACCCTGCCTTCCCCTGAGGCTTTACCCAAACATGCCATCCTCCAAAGTTGCTGTCTCCAGGATGCAGCTCCCCAGTGTGCACAGCCCCATAGCTATGGGGGGCAGCCCATGCTCAGGTGCCCCCTACCCATCTCAGCTGGTTTCCCTGCTGACCTTTGAGGTTTCCTATTTATTCAAAAATGACCAATGCAGCTCATGAATAATACAACGCTTATCTGGTGCCCTTCGTTGGCAGACCACATCTCGTTCCACGAAGCCAGGTGGAGCAGTGACAAGGGTGGCACCAATGGGGAAACAAACCCAGGCGGGTGAGCGTTGCTGATGCTCAGGTTCTCATTGTGAGCGGCCTTACTGAGCTTCCTGTTCCTGTGCTTCCCAGAGGAAACCTTTCTTGTAGGGTCTGCCTTTTCTGCACGGGGAGCAGCTTTACCAGTCCTGCCCACTGTGAGACCTGTTGCACTGCTAGGATCCCCACGAGCTCAGGTGCAGCTGTAAGAGTTGCCTGTGGCGTTTGCTCCTTGACCTGCACCCCTCTGCCCATCCTCATGGGGACACTGGAATGAGGGGACGAGAAAAGCACCCAGGCTTTGCTCAAGGTTTGGCACCCCCAGGTGTGGGTTCTGCCCTGCATCTCGCCAGGAGCACAGGCTGCAGGGCCGTCTGCTCGCTCTGATTAGCATGCTCTTTAAATAAGACTCTAATTTCCGCTGTTAAAAGAGCTCAGGTCCCTTGTGCCCAGGCTGGGGCTGCAGCCAGCCCCGTCCCTTCCCCCAGCCCTCATGACAACAGATGGGATGGGGCCGTGGGGATGCAGTGCCGCAGGTGGGATGGGGCATGGGGGGTTCTGGGAGGTGCTGGGGGGCTTAGGCAGGGGGTGAGTGCTGGCTGCCGCCTGGGGGCCAACAGGCTGCTGCCTCCCCCAGCACTCGACTGAGCTCAGCTCTAGGGAATGTGCTGGGATTCCTGGGCATAGGGCCAGCACGTGGAGAGGCGAGAGGGGACCCGTGCTGCCAGGGGAGGCTCTGCTGCCCGCTGCCTTCTTCTGCCGATGTCAGGGGGAGGATAGAAACCCCCTCAAAACAAACATGCGAGTCACATGGTGTTGTGGCTTGCTATGCTTGAGAGCCACCACTGCTTCCTGAGGACATCCAGCTTGCTGGAATGGTGCCACAGCCTGGCCAAGGTGGGGAGGGGGCACTGGGAGAAGATTGTGCTGCTTGGAGACTGACTGTGGTCCCAGCAGGAAATTTCACAGCAGGGTCTTCCTTTCTTCCTCCTCCCCCAGGATCTTCCAGGATTGTGGCATTAACACCATACAATGCACTCAGACCTGACTCAGCCTATCACCATGTCAGGAGGTTAATGACCAAAGAACTGGGCCATGGGCACATCCTGGCTACATGATCCCATCCAGCACCCACCAGAAGATTGTTCAGTGATGCTGGCTTGGATCTGATCATTCCCATGGTGGGCAGCCGTGCCATGGCACATGTTACTGCTACCAGGCATTTGCATAGCACCCATGGGGCTGAGCCAGCTGCTGGCGCCTGAGAACAGCCGGTGCCACGCCAGGACTGACCCATCCAGTCCCACCAGCCCTGTGATGTGATGTGTGGGAGGGCAGCGCTGCCGGCTCAGCTTGGCGCTCAACATTTGTGGGACTGCAGGTGGAATGGGGACAGGCTCCCTCTGGGCACAGGCACCAGATCTGGTACTCAGTGAGGATTTTGGGGCACACTGTCCTCCCTTGTGCAAAGGGTGGAGGTCTCCGCAGGCTGGCAAGGAGGTGATGCGATGTAACCAGAGTGGGGTGGCAGCTGCTGCTGAATTATTCAGAGCCCCTCCATGAGCCAGGCTGTGCTGCTACTTGCTCCAACCCTGCCCAAGGCTGGTTTGGCCTCAGTGCACCCAGGCAGGGATTAATAGAGAGGGGTCCTTATTAATTCCTAATTCCCCTCCAGGCCCTTCAGTGGGAGGTGCTACTTGCATGCAGGGAGCCTCAGCTGATGTGCGAGAGCCACATGTGGTTTGCCCTAGGTTTGGGGAGGGGGGGCACGTGGGGAGGGCCCAGCACAGCAGCTTCAAGCAGCATCGACTAAAAAGGAGAAGAGCAGCAAGCTGACGGAAGCGCTGAGGAATGCCCGTGCCTCCATGTGTGCTGGGGTGCAGCTGGGGCTGAGCGAGTGCCCCCCCAGGCAGCTGCTGTGGATCCTGTCCTTCCTCCTGTGACAGCTTAGGGGACCCTTTGTGCCATCTTCTTGACACTGGGACAGGGGACCCTATGCTTGTGCCTTCACCCCACACGTGCTGGGGACCATGGTGGGCCAGGGGTGTCCATGTTTGGCCACTTTCCTGGTTGCTGTTGCTGGCAGGGCGCCAGCCCACAGCTCATGTGACAGCCTTGGGCTGGCTAAATATACAGCATCATCCAAGTACCGTGCCCCCAGGGCTGCTTGGGAAAGCGTGTGTTCCCTCTGTCCTCAACCCCTTGCTATGGGGTCTGGCTGCATAGTCCATGCTGTGATCCATTCCTGCGCTCTTGGGACTGGGCTGCCACAGTGATTCTGGGGGTCTGGGCGTGTAGAGGGGGTGAACAGCATATGGGGTGCTCCAGGGATCGTAGGTTGTGTGTCATGAGCATGAGGGTTCTTGGGGTGTTGCTTTGCTCAAAGAGCCCCCCGCTAACCCTGGGATGCCCCATACCTGGGGTGTGGGGACCCCCAGAGCTGAGCTCCCCCTGCACCCACTGCAGGTGCGGCACCGCCAGTCCGGGCAGATCATGGTGCTGAAGATGAACAAACTGACCAGCAACCGGGGCAACATGCTGCGGGAGGTGCAGCTAATGAACCGCCTCTCACACCCTAACATCCTCAGGTTCGTCCCATTCCCTGGGACTTGGGGCTGCTGTGGGGCTGGGTGAGCTCCTGGGGCTGGATTCTCCCAGGTCACGCTCAGCTCCTCTCTTCTTGCAGGTTCATGGGGGTGTGTGTGCACCAGGGGCAGCTGCACGCGCTGACAGAGGTGAGAGTGGGATGGTGGTCATGGGGACAGGGAGAGGGTGTTAGTGACCATAAGGGCATCTGGTGTGTGGCTGGGGGAGCTATGGGAAGAGATTTGGGGACCCAGCAGCTTGGTAGGATGGAGCGGGGTGCAGCAAGGCAATGGCTCTTCCCACCAGTACATCAATGGTGGGAACCTGGAGCAGCTGCTGGACAGCCCCGTGCCCCTCTCCTGGTCCACGCGTGTCAAGCTGGCACTCGACATCGCCCGTGGCCTGCGCTACCTGCACTCCAAAGGCATCTTCCACCGTGACCTCACCTCCAAGGTATGGGGCATCCTGATGCATGAGTTTCCCTTACACGCATCCCAGGAGTGGTGGTGTTAAGGTGGGGGCTGACAGGAGGTCCTGCTGTGCCCCCAGAACTGCCTGGTGCGCTGTGAGGCCAATGGCTACACGGCTGTGGTGGGTGACTTCGGCTTGGCAGAGAAGATCCCTACCTACAGGTCTGTCTGTCCATCCCCATCCTCCAAGCAAGAGGTTCCAGCTCGCTTGGCATGGGAGCAGGAGAGCAATGGATGTTTTTGTGGGGATGGGGGTGGTGGGGTGATCCCTGGTGGGAGGACTGATGGGGGGTGGATATGTTCAAGAATATCCAGGAGGAGTGGAGAAGGGAATGGTGACCTGGTGGTGGGTGAGATGGGACATGGGGTGCATGGAGGAGGGTTGGCACTGGGAGAAGGGGATCTGGGGAAGTGGGACCCTGACATGCCACTGTGTCCCCAGTGAGGGCAGCGAGAAGGAGCCACTGGCCGTGGTGGGCTCTCCCTACTGGATGGCACCTGAGGTTCTACGTGGGGAGATCTACAATGAGAAGGTGACGCTGCATGGGACCACCTGGGCATGTGAAGGGAGAGGGAAAGGGCATCCTAGGGGGGCTGGAGGGGAGGGCTTGCTACATGGCTTCAGGCTGCAGCCCCCTGCAACTCCCTGCTTTCTGCAGGCTGATGTGTTCGCCTACGGCATCATCCTGTGTGAGACCATTGCTCGTGTCCCCGCTGACCCTGACTACCTGCCCCGCACTGAGGTAACTCAATGGGATGGGAAGCAGAGGCAGGGCATGGCAAGACCAGGGCTGGTAATGTGTCACCTGAAATGTGAAAGGTGACCTTATCCCCACTGAGGGTTGCTCCAGGGTCCCCTCTTGCTGCACCCAGCCCAGTGCTGGCACCCAGCCTCACTCTTCCTTGTCTCCCCGGAGCAGGATTTTGGCCTGGACGTCACCACTTTCCGCACCATGGTGGGAAACGACTGCCCGACAGCCTTTCTCCAGCTGGCGTTTCACTGCTGCAGCGTGAGCCCTTGCATCATGATGCCCTCATCCTAGCTTCCCATTCCTTGCCTGGGGTGGGAGCTGCCCCAGAGGGCTGGAGGGGCACCAACCTCACCAGGGTCTCCTCCTTCCTACAGATGGAGCCCAATTCTCGCCCCTCCTTCCTGGAAATCACGCAGTGCCTGGAGGGTGTCCTGCAGCACCAGCTGGGCACTGAGGGTGCCAGGACCACCCTCTTCTGCACTGGGGACAGCGTGCCTGCACCCAGCACAGTGTCCGCATTCAATGGTATGTGAGTGTCCCAGGAGTGTGTGTTGCCCATCATTTTGGGGGAGAGGATCTGTGGGACAGCACCCCATTGCCCTCTGCCCGCATAGTCCCCACATTCCACTGGTAACTCCCTCCTGTGCCCCAACCCAGGAGTGGCCATGAGGGCGGCTGGCTGTGCTGAGCAGTCCCCGCTGCGTGAGCTGGGGACACAGCACCTGCAGCCGGATCAGCACCTGTCCCGCAGTCACTCTGACGTCTTCCCCCCCAAATCATCCATCTCAGAGCCCTGCAGTGAGGCCAGGACCAAGGAGACGCCACCGCGTGTCAACCCCTTCTCCCAGCGTGAGGACCTGAAGGGGGGCAAGATCAAGCTCTTTGACATCCCCAGCAAGTCGGTCATCTCACTCACATTTGACCTGCCCCCTCCAAACCCACTGCAGCTTGCCACCCCCATCACTCCTGAGCCAGCCGTGGAGGTGCAGTGTGACTTCTCAGCACCCACCACCCCATCCCGCAAGTGCCACTCGCTGCCTGCCTCCCCTGAGCTGCCCCACCGGGGGGGCCTGGCGCTGGGCGTGAGGTCCCCCTCCCGGCCCCCTGCCCCTAAGCAGTGCCGCTGGGACAGCGGAGAGCCGAGAATCCCATCCAGCCCCAGGGTGGAGGAGCGGAGAGGCTGCGCTCCCCCACCACCCTGAGCCGCCACCGCAGCTCCGCACTCCTGCATCCACTAGTGGCACCTTCATCCGCACCTTGGCCTCGGGAAGCAATCCGTGGCAGCAGGAGCCGCTCAATGGGCGGCTCCTCAACAGTCACCACCCTGCAGCAGTCAGCAAGCCACTGTCCTGGGGCAGCGGGCTGGAGGATGGCTTTTCTGAGCTCAGCATCCCCTGCGCAGCAGCGGCGCTGGAGCGGACGGAGTGTGCGGCCATGCTGCCTGGGCATGGCTCCAGCATGGTGCTGGAGCAGGACGAGGCGCTGCCCTGCCCTAGCTGCTGCTTGGGGCCCTTGAGCTTCACCTCTGTTTGTCACCGGCCAGCACCCAGCCCACCCCGCTACCAGAACCTCAACTGCGAGGCCAAGAGCCTCCTCTGCCACGACCGCCTCCAGAAAGCCCAGGGGTCAGCGGAGCCTGGCCTGAAGCTGCCTGAGGCACAGTCCTAGTGGTGGGGACCCCGCTGGGAGCCTGGGGTGCCCACCACTCCATCACAGCTCACTCAGCACATGGAAGCCCTTACTGCCTGGGGGGCTGAAGTGCAATAACACTGCTGCCCCAGGCGGCAGGGTCAGTTCCCCGCAGGTCTGAAGCCTGTGGGTCTCCCCTGTCCCCATGGGCTAGCCTTCAGTGGGCTCTCACAGCTCCTCGGACTGAGGACAAGCAGGGCTGATCAGGGGGTGTGAAGCAGTGTATGTGAGCAGTGGGGGTCCCAGCTGCCACCCTGCAAGTGTAGGACACCCACCTGGTCCCTGACACGATGAAACACCGTGGTATACAGGTGTCCGGGGAGGGGCCAGCACTGGGGGTCTTTGGGCACTGAGCCCCCAGCAAATGTGTGCTGTCCTGCCTAGCACCAGGGACTCATCCACATTGCTCACCCCAAGCTGAGGGCACCCTGCAGCCCCCAGCATCTCTTGAGTGGCCAGGGGATAAGGGAGGGACAGGAGTGGGAGCCGGCTTTCCTCCCTCCCGCACAACGCACTGGTGAATGCAGAACTGTTGTGTTTTTTTTTATTATTAATAATGATAATAGCTAGTAATATATAACCAGCTTATTTAAGGTGTTCAATAAAAACTGAATGTCCCAGCAAGTTGGGCTGATGCTTGTGTCTCTTGGGGTACACATTGAGCGGGATGGGGAGCCCTGGCCTGGGGGTGACAGGGACTTGATCTGACTGTGCCCCATTGGGGCAGCTTTGGTTCAGTGTCACTGAAGTGGCCAACTCAGTTGTTAGCTTCAGAGAAATAACGGTTTGTAGTTTGAGCAGTTCCAATTTATGGTATGGTAGTTTTTTGACACGTTCAGTGGGCATGGTGGGATGGGCTGACATTTGTGTGAAATGATCTTAGTGGTCTTTTCCATCCTTAATGATTCTATGATTCTATGATCATTGAATTTGCATTGTGGAGTCTTTGTCTTAGCAGTAAAGAAGAAAGCAAGCAGCAGACAAGCTTTGTCTGTTTATTTGCTACAATATGGGGTCAGCCAGCGGACAACATGGAGCAACACGTGCACCTCTAAAATGCCTTTAACAGCCTTGTGCTCTTCAAGCAAAAAGATTTACATACCAATTAATCAACTAAATATGGAACACGCAACCCCATAATAGAACACAACTTCCTCTGCTCTCGCCAGGCTGAACATAAATCGGGGCTATTCTGCACGTGCGTGGCAGCTATTTAAATTCCCAATGATTTGTCTTGCAAAATGTCTGGTGCAGGATGCTGCTTTGGAAGTGCATGGCCACACGGTGCCATCCTAAAGGTCACTGCTCTACTCTAATCAGTAATAACACCCAAATGCCAACTCCGGCCGTAGCTCCATCCTTGGGCTCATGTGCTGCATGAAAGCTGAAGCAGAGAGGATGCGGGCGCTGAAAGGGAAAGATGTGCTGAGTGGGGCTGGGACGGGGTTTTCCCCATCTTTCCCCTTTGCTGCCTTCCTTGCGCACCATGGGGTGAGCCGGCCGTGTCACTGCTCTCGTCACATGAACGGGGAGCTGGGCCCTGCTGCCTTCTCGCAGATCCAGAGGTGCAGGTCGTCTGGCCCCTCACACTGCGCCGGTTTGATGTTCCCACGGCTGATGACAGCACATGACCCGTTGGACTTCGGCTGCCAAGGTCTGCATGGGGACATACCAGAAGCACCTGCGGGGCTGCCCCACACCGGCAGCATCTCGCCCCGGAGGTGCTCCCGGTGTGCTCGGAGTGCAAGGGCAGGCAGGGGCTCAGCAGACGGGGCTGTTCCTCCTCACTAGTTTCAGACACCACAAGAGGAAGCAGATGTGAGCCAGGCTGGTGGCACACGTGATGGGGAGGGAGCGATGATTTCCCCTCCAGGAGGACGACGGTGGTGGGTGGGAGATAGGGACAGGGCTCAACCATTTTGCTTAGCCCCCACTAAAATGTGCGGGTTCCTTCGTCCCTTCTCTCCACATCCTATGGGCACAAGGTTCAGCTTTCCCGTTGCATGGGCTCTGAGCGTCTCAGCCCAGCACTCACACATTGGCTACTGAAGGGATGTAAAGTGTTTCATCAAGCCTCACCAGAGGAGGGGGGATGTGAGCATGGTGTACCTCTCATAAAGCGAGCCGTCCACCCAGAACCAGGCATCTGTCAGCCCTTCACCGTCTGGCTCTTCCTCCAGCCAGTCATATTCGTACCAGGGGTACTTGCTCTTCTGCAGCCCGATCCAGTACGCGATGTCTGCATTCTTCAGGAAGCTCTGGAGAAAGGGCAAAAGGGCCTTTTGACACTTCCGTGGGATTTAGAGGCTGCAGAGCCTTTATCTTCCCGCAGAACTCGAGCAATCCCAGCCCCACACCAGCTCCAGGAATCATAGAATCATAGAATTATAGACTCAGAGAATCATAGAATGGCCTGGGTTGAAATGGACCACAACGACCATCAAGTTTCAACCCCCCTGCTGTGTGCAGGGTCACCAACCACAAGACCAGGCTGCCCAGAGCCACATCCAGCCTGGCCTTGAATGCCTGCAGGGATGGGGCATCCACAGCCTCCTTGGGCAACCTGTTCCAGTGCGCCACCACCCTCTGAGTGAAGAACTTCCTCCTAATATCCAACCTAAACCTCCTGTCTTAGTTTAAAACCATTCTTCCTTGTCTTATCACTATCCACCCTTGTAAACAGCCGTTTCTCCTCCTGTTTATACTCTCCTTTTAAATATTGTACGGCCACAACAAGGTCTCCCTGGAGCCTTCTTTTCTCCAAGCTGAACAAGCCCATTTCTCTCAGCCTTTCTCCATACGAGAGGTGCTCCAGCCCTCTGATCATCTTAGTGGCCCTCCTCTGGACACACTCCGAGAGTTCCACATCTTTCTTGTGCTGTCCCCTTGTTGTTGGATGCCCCCAGCTTTGCAATGCCCTGGCACTCAGCTCTCACTCCCTACCGGCACAGTCCAGCGACTCCAGGATTTGGTGATCAGGAGCTGAGAGTACTGTTCCTCGCACTCTGCCCTGCTGTCATCCCACGTCTTCTTGTCCGTTGAAATGAAGAGGCACTTTCCCCGGTACAGCAGCCAGCCTGAGGGGCAGCAGTCTAGAGACAGGGGCACAGATCAGCTCAGGCACTCACTGGTGTCTGCAGAACCCCATCTCCCGCAGAGCTTCAGCCTTTCGATCATCCCATCTCCACCCCATGGCCGAAAAGCCACCATCCACACTTCAATACTACAGGCATGCTGGGGCTGCCCTATGGCCATACCTATAGCCGTGCAGGAGCGCAGCAGGGTCACGGTGCTCTCACTAGCATTCAGCCTTCCCTGCACGCTGTTCAGCTCCTTCTGGGTTGCAGCCAGGGCCCCTGAGACATGCGCCAGCTCAGCCTCCCACCTGCCCAGCTCCTGCTGGCTATTGTTGCCCTGTTGCCATGCTTGCTGCAGCTCCTCTCGCACTTGTGCCAGCTCCTGTCGCATCTGCTCCAGGCTCTGGTCCCGCATCCACACCTCCTGTGAGAAGCGGCCGCGCTCGGCCACCTGCTCCAGGGATGTGTCCTGTAGCTGGCGAGTCACCTGCCAGTCTGGGGACAGGGAGGGTGAGCTGGGACATGGGGATGGGGTAGCCTGGGTGGGAGGCAAAGGGCTCGGCATGGGGAAAGCAGAGCAGTGGGCGACCGCAGAGTGGGAATGGATGGGGAGGACTGGGAAGTATGTGGACTGAGTTGGGCAGGATCTGGCAGGGTGGGCTGGAGTAGGAGCAGAGCAGGCTGGGGCAGGATCAGGGCAGGAGAGCAGGAAAGAGGAGTCCAGCGAGGAGTATGGTTGATGGCAGCCAATGGAAATACCCATGATGTGCGAGGGACAAGTTGCAGCTTGGAACAACTGGGACAGACAAACCTACTTCCGTGCTCTTGAGCATAGTCTGTGGCACCCACCCCTACCTCACCACTCTCTCGTCCCCATATCCCAATGCCACCTGTCCCCACTCACAGCAGGCCCCTAGCACCATGGCGGCCACCAGCAGCAGTAGACTGACAGCCACCAACCCCACAGGGACACAGCGTCGGCTGGAACAGCACCCTGCAAGACACCAAGTGGCCATCCGTCACCCTCTGTCACTTCTTGGGCAGCCCCAGACAGCATGGTGGCAACGTGGTGGCACAGTGTGGGCTCTTCCTCTCTCCAAGGAGAGAATGGGAAGTGCCCTGAAGCAACATGCACTGCCCACATCATGACCTCCCACATCCCCATCCCAACCAGGCACTTACCTGGACTGTGCCAGGCCCCTTCCCCTGCTGTCCCCACAGGCATCAGCTCTGGTGTGATGTTCTCGTGGGGACTCTCAGCCTCATCCATACCAAGGGCTGTAGGAGGAAGGTCGGACAGCAATGAGGTGATGATGTTGGCTATATGGGGAGATGTGAGGATCCCATGGTTCTCACCTGCTTCCAGTGGCTGGCTGGCTGTGCCACGGCCCCTTGGCCCTTTGGCAAACCTCAGGTCAGTGTAGAGCACTCCCTGGGCCATGCAGACAAGCCCTGAGTCCTGCTGTCTTCCACCCAACTCTCTGGGGTGGTCTTTGCACCCTGGCTTGGTGTACAAAAGAGAAGTGAGGCCAGCTCTTACAGAAGCAGAACTTGGCTCTGAATCACAGCAGATGGGACCAGCGAGGCACAGCCGTGGGGACCAGCACCCTGCCATTGGCCCAGCACCACCAGCACATCCCCTCCCACACTCCGAGAGCTCACAGTCCCCTGGGTCCACATGACAGTATCGGGCAGCCCAGGGTGTGAGTACAGACACAGCAGGGCTGCACCCGAAGGCTGGGAAGGACCAAAGCAGAGCTGCACACAGGAGTGCCAGGAATGCTCCACGAGGGACTGAAGGTGCTCATGGTGTGCATTTTCCCTTCGTGCATCAGGGAATATGGATCTCCTCCCACCACAATGTGCAAAGACAAAGTTTCGTTAGCTCCCACCCCATCGCCATGAAGATGGAGCACATCCTGCTGGGCATGGGGTGACCCGTGCCCAGGGAGGACATAGTGATGGCTGGGGACCTGAGTGACATTTTCCAAGGACAAGTGCCACCTGTCCCACTCTCCTGCCTGCCACCATGAGAGTGGTGGGATGGGGTGCATGGAGGAGGGTCAGATTGGATATCAGGAAAAATGTATTCACAGGGAGGGTAGTGAGGTTTCCCAAGGGGTGGAGGTCCAAGAAATGTGGAGATGTTGTACTGAAGGACGTGGTCAGTGAGCACGGTGGGGATGGATTAGCATTTGGCTAAATGATTCCTATGATTCTAAAGGGACAGCAATGGGACTACTTATTACGACCCTTCAGGACCTGGGCCAAATGTCCTGCTCACATTGTTGGCAGAGAGGAGAGTGGTGTCCAGCGGTAGATGGAGAGAAATGCTGGTCTGAACAGGACAATGAGAGCCACCAGCACTACTCTTCCTGGGGAGTCCCTGGATGTCATGAGATGCGCAAATTCTGCATGCAGTGTGGAAATCCCTTTTAAGGATAGAAAGAAAAATGCTTCCATTCATTACAGTTATCGGATCCTACCACAGAGCCCAGCAAGGGGCCATGTCCACATGGGGCAGGATCAGCCCTGTGCAATAAACCT